AACATGAGGCTGACCACTTTCCCAGAGGAATCTCTCTCCCTGCTGATATACACTGAGTGGCCAGAGAATAATGATCTCTGAACATATCATAATCTGGCCACTCAATGCAAATATATACTAGAGGCCTGGTGCATGAATTTGTGCATGGGTGGGGTCCGGCCAGCCTGGCCAGGGGGAGGAGACATGGGCTGTTGGCTGGCCTGCCTGCTGGTCAAACTCCTGGTTGAGGGGAAAATTTGCACGTTAGCCTTTTATTATCTAGGCTATACACTGAGTGGCCAGATTATTATGTGTTCAGAGATCATAATAATCTGGCCATTCAGTGTATTATTTAAATATATTTTTATTGATTTCAGAGAGGAAGGGAGAGGGAGAGAGATGGAAACATCAATGATGAGAGAGAATCATTGATCAGCTGCCTCCTGCACCCTCCTACCCCATTGGAGATTGAGCCCAAAACCCAGGCATGTGCCCTTGATCGGAATTGAACCTGGGACACTTCAGTCCACAGGCTGACGCTCTATCCTCTGAGCTAAAGCAGCCAGGGCTCCTGGTGATATTTGGAATAGGAGCAGGTTTGTGCCGGTGCCTCCGTATCCAGGGGCGACGACACAGACCAGATGATGTCCAGGCAGTGCTGGGAGCCAGCCAGAGAGGCCCCGCCGTGGCCAGGAGGGACGCGCTCCCTCCAAGGGGCACAGCTCGGGCAAACGGTGTTTGACTGTGGGTTTTGATGATTTCTAACGAGTGCACAGTTCTGACGATTTCCGTGAGAAAACGATGGGAAGAGAACAGTCTTGACTGACCCAGTTTGATGAGCCTGGAGAGGGACTGGCAAGGCCACGTCCAATGGGCCAGGGCAGGGCCAGGCACTCAGGGCCCGGCGGGCGGGAATGAGGTCAGTGAGTGGTGGTGGCAGACCGAGAGGAAGGATGCAGCTTCTGTGCGCCAGGGCCCTTGGGGGCTGCTGGCCTGGCTGCGTGGCTATTAATTGTTGTTTTATTTTTAATGCACTATGGCCGGCCTCATTTACCTTCATGCCTAATAAAGGGAAAACTGTTTACACAGCACCCTGCGTCTGTCCTCAGAGCTGACACACACCAGCAGCCTGAGAGGCAGACAGCCTTTCGTGAGCAGGCGCAGGTGGCAGTGCAGCGACTGGATGGTGTTGGGGAGACAAACGGGGGACAGGGGAGGTCAGCGCCCTGGGAAACAGCTCCGAGTGCAGAGCTGGCTACCGGGCGGATGGCGTCAGCGCCCAGGGAGACGGGCCAGCAGCCCAGACCTCTCTCTAAGCTGCCTGTGCCCCTTTCTCCCCATGTCAGTGCGGCTGGGACGATGGCCAGGGTCGGCGGTGCATTCCAGGGTGACATCCGTCTTCGCGCCTACCCTGCTCTGCCTTCTCTCACGCCTGCTGCCCGCCGAGGTGAGCGCTCCGGTTTTTCCATCCAAGGCCCCGTGACCAGGGTCTGTGTTCTCTCCGGCCGCCGCTGTGGGGACACACTGGGCGCTCTACCTGCATGCAGATGGGACTGCCCTGCGCAGAGCTCGGTGACCTTCCCGACCCACCAGGCCGTTAGAACCTGATACCTACCGAGGGCTTGCTGTGAGCTGGGGTCCTGCAGGAATGTGGCGTGCTGCACCCCTCTCCCCTATGGGGACCTCTGGTTAAGAGAGAGAGTGTCCCCCTGGCCGGTTTGGCTCAGTGGATAGAGCGTCTGCCTGTAGACTGAAGGGTCCCAGGTTCAATTCCGGTCAAGGGCATGTACCTTGGTTGCGGGCACAGCCCCAGTAGGGGGTGTGTAGGAAGCAGCTGATCCAAGTTTCTCTCCCATTGATGTTTCTAACTTTTTTTTTTTTTAACACTTTTTTAAAAAAAAATGTTTTATTGATTTTTTACAGAGAGGAAGAGAGGGATAGAGTTAGAAACATCGATGAGAGAGAGTCATCGATCAGCTGCCTCTTGCACACCCCCCACTGGGGATGTGCCTGCAACCAAGGTACATGCCCTTGACCGGAATCGAACCTGGGACCTTTTGGCTCTATCCACTGAGCCAAACCGGTTTCGGCTGTTTCTAACTTTCTATCCCTCTTCCTTCCTTTCTGTGAAAAATCAATAATTTTTTTTTTTTTTTTTTTTTTTTTTTTTTTTTTTTTTTTTTTAAAGAGAGAGAGGGAGTGTCACCGCCCCACCTGGTAGATGAGGAAACTGAGGCTCAGGCCCACCTTTCCTCTAGCACCAAAGCGGCGGAGCCAGGGCAAGAACTTGTCACCGGGGCTGCTCTGCTTCCATACCGGAGGTCCTGGCCTCATCCTGCCCCCTGCCCACAGGACGCACAGCCACGCCTCAGAGCCAGCACACTCCTTTGCTACAGTTTGTCCCAGTGTGGATTTCTGTGTCCACCGGTGAAGCAGGCAGTGTGTTCTGGGAGCAAGTTCACCCGCTTTGGAGGCAGGCTGGACTAAACCAGACACAGGAGTTTGTTTGTTGTTGCCATAATTCTCTCTCTCTTTTTTTTTTAAAATATATTTTATTGATTTTTCACAGAGAGGAAGAGAGAGGGATAGAGAGTTAGAAACATCGATGAGAGTCATCGACCAGCTGCCTCTTGCACCCCCCCTACTGGGGATGTGCCCGCAACCAAGGTACATGCCCTTGACCGGAATTGAACCCGGGACCTTTCAGTCCGCAAGCCGACACTCTATCCACTGAGCCAAACCGGTGCCGGCTGTTGTTGCCATAATTCTCACCTGAGGATATATTTCCATTGATTTTTAGAGAGTGGGAGAGAAAGACAGAAATATCGATGTGAGACACATCGATTGGTTGCCTCCTGCACATGCCGAAACCAGAGCCTGGGCTGGGGAGGGGCCTGCAACCAAGGTACATGCCTTTGACTGGAAATGAACCCGGGACCCTTCAGTCTGCAGGCCATCCACTGAGCCACAGCAGTCAGGCAGGACGCTGGCTTTTTGACCTTGAACAGACTCCTCTCTCTGAGGCCCCTTCTGTACAAGATGGGCCTGAGCCACTGGCCTGGAGGAACGACATCACATAGGCACAGGCTGGTTCTCCTTCTGAGCCAGGGCGCTGAGGAGCTGAGGAATGGGCAGGGCCATGAGGAGGCTACTAGAGACCTGCAGCCTGACAGTGCTGAGAACGCATACCTCCTCCCCACCCACAGCTGTACCTCCTCCCCACCCACAGCACTTCCTTCCTCCCCACCCACAGCTGGTACCTCCTCCCACCCACAGCTGATACCTCCTCCCCACCCACAGCTCGTCCTTCCCCCCACCCCCCAAAGCTGTACCTCCTCCCCACCCACAGCTCATCCTTCCCCTCACCCCCCACAGCTGTACCTCCTCCCCACCCACAGCTCGTAATCACCAGGCATCTGCTTATCAGCCATCGCCATCCTGATAGGATCGTGTCCTGATAGAATCACAGCTCCAAGGGCAGAGTCCTCTAGAGGCCGCCCCTAGCAGCACCGGTCTTCTGGCTGGAGCCAAACACTTCCAAATACGTCATTCATTCTTAAAACACTATTGTCATTCTGTCATCTACAATAATGTGAAGACTGGAAATAGAGAAAAACTGGCTATGTGACCCGGAAATGAAAGCTGACTGTGACCTTGTAAATTCTATGCACATGTCTACGGATTATATGAAGAAATCGTGCACAGACTGGGAATTGTGGTTTTCCATCTTAAGACATTTTCCAATATCTGATTGTCGTTGTTCACAAAGTGACATTTCAGAGAAAGAAGACCTGAGGAGGAGGAGGAAGTTGGCTGTGACGCAGCACGCACACCCACTCCTCCCGCTGTGCCTTCCAGAGTCAGGCCGGGGTCCTGGATCCGCTTCCCTGGGCAGGAAGCCCCGCTGGGCTGTTAGGGGAGGATCACCGGGCCCTGCTGCAGCTGGGGCGGTTCTGCAGCGCTGGAGCTGCCAGCACCTCCAGCTGAAGCCCTGAGCGGGCACATTTGCTTCCCCACAGCGCCCTCCTGTGGCAGAGGCCAACCAGAGCCCACAGGCCTTCCTGCCAGCAACACTGACAACCCAGTTTTTAAAAAACTATTTTTATTGATTTCAGAGAGGAAGGGAAAGGGAGATCGAAACATCAATAATGAGAATCATCAATCAGCTGCCTTCTGCACGCCCCCTACTGGGGACTGAGCCCGCCACCTGGGCATGCAGCCTTAACCGGAATTGAAGCTGGGACCCTGCAGCCTGCAGCCCAACACGCTATCCCTTTTTTTTTTTCCTTTAAAAAAATATTTAATTAATTAGCTAATCTTCAAACCAGTTATCGGGCATGAGTAATGTTTAAGAAGAAGGAGTAATCACAAAACTATTAATGTTTTCTTTAATCACTGTTTGCTACAGGTAAAATGGATACACATCTGTGTAATAACACACAATCCGTGCTTTTTAAATATCTGATTCCCCCAAAACCAGGGGAAGGTGGTTCAGCGTGGCTGGTGGGAGGCGAATGGTGATTTGAAAGACAGTTCATGCACATCACACTCTAACCCCCGCTCGAGGCCCAGGACCGAGCAAGCAGCGCTAGGAGACTAGGAGATGCCGAACATTTAACGTCCTGGGAGAGGGTGGGGGAGAGGGGCCCCTACCCGGGCAGGAGGGTGCGAGAGCTGAGGGTCTAAGAAGAGGGCAGCTGAGGGCCTAGGAGGAGGGGCAGCTGAGGGCCAAGAGGAGGGGCAGCTGAGGGCCAGGAGGAGGGGCAGCTGAGGGCCAGGAGGAGAGGCAGCTGAGGGCCAGGAGGAGGGGCAGCTGAGGGCCAGGAGGAGGGGCAGCTGAGGCCAGGAGGAGGGGCAGCTGAGGCCAGGAGGAGGGGCAGCTGAGGGCCAGGAGGAGGGGCAGCTGAGGGCCAGGAGGAGGGGCAGCTGAGGGCCAGGAGGAGGGGCAGCTGAGGGCCAGGAGGAGGGGCAGCGAAGCCAGCATCGCAGCAGTGAGCGGGCAGAGCTCCGCGCAGGGGCGCTCACTGGGGCTTTTCGAAGAGGTACTCCAGGTCCGGGGCGCGCAGCCGCTGCTCCTTGTTTTTGTTTTTGGCGAAGTCTCTGAGCAGCGCCAGGATTTCGTTTTCGAATATTTCCGGGGCTGGTTTGGCTTCTGCAAGAGAAGAGCAGCCAGAACAAACCGTGTCAGTCAGTAGGTAGGCAAAAGGGTCTTGAGCCTTGACTCCGGCCTTGGCCAAGGGCCTCGGCAGGTGTAGCCGTTCCTTTCTCCCTCTCAGTGCTGAGTGCACACGGCGCCTGGGCCTGCGACAGGTTTGGGACAGCAGCTCCTGCTGGTTCACGTGCCGTCATGGCTGCTCTTGTGCTACGAGACTGAAGCCTTTACTGTCTGCTAACAGCCAGACACAAGCAAGCCGCTTCTAGGCATGAACACAGCCCGCCTCGGTCTTCCTTACGATGCCTAACATTCAACACACAGTTACCACACACACACACACACACAAAAAAAAAACACACACACACACACACGGGGAAGGGACAAAGCAATCCACAGAAACAGACGAAGGGATGGCCCACAGACTGGTGCGGAATTTAAAGCCACTATGGCTAATATGTTAAAGGCCCCAGTGGAAAAAGGAGACAAAAATCTATGAACCGGTGAGGACCTCCAGCTGAGATGGGAACTATAAAAGTGAGATGGAAAGGTTAACAAACCCTGACCGGATGGCTCAGTTGGAGGGTCGTCCCAGGCACCGAGGGGGTCCCGGGTCAAGGCACCTGGGCGGGTTGTGGGTCCGGTCCCCGGTCAGGGTGCTGGGGTGTGTGTGAGAGGCAAGCCATGTTTCTCCCCTCCACGTTCCTCTCTCTCTGAAATCAATTTTAAAAAAATTAATAAATAAGTAAAAATAAGCAAATAAGCAGAATGACCTCAACAGGTCCATCCTGAGCCATGACAGAGTTGAGGACAAATCAGTGAATTGAGGATAGGTCAACAGACATCACCCAAACGAACGCATTGAGGAAAAGAGTAAGAGACAGAGAACAGAATCCCAAACTATGACATCAGATGGACAGTCTAACCGAAGTGTAATTGGACCCAACAAGCCTGGAGAACCCAAAGCAGGTAAACACCCAACACAAGCATCCAGCCTGTCACACTCCAACTGCTGGAAGCCAGAGATAAAACGCTGGAAACGTTCAGGAAGAACAGATACACTCACTGTACACAAAGCAACAAAGACACAGCACAGCCCACGCCAAGACTAGGCAGACCAGATAACGGCACACACTAACGGACTTGAAGCTGGCGGTACAAGGTAACCAAAGCAACAATAACCAGATCCAGCTCAACCGAACAGCTCATCCTTCAGCCTCACAAAAAAGTGTGCCCCTATAATGTGCTGAAAAGTTGTGAACTTATAATTCTATAGCCAGTGAAAATATCTTTCAAAACTGCTAAAAGCTGAGAAAATGCATAACAGCAGACCTACACTACAAGAAATATTAAAGGAGTTCTTCAGGAATAGGATACCGGATAGAAACATCGATCTACATAAAGAAATGAAAGAACTCGAGGCGATTAAAATAAGGGAAATATAAAACACCAGAGGTCCAGTGCACAACATTTGTGTACTGGTGGGGTCCCTCAGCCTGGACTGCGCCCTCTTGCAGTCCAGGACACCTCAGGGGATGTCCAACTGTCAGCTTAGGGGAGCAGGCCTAAGGGGGCAGGCAGACATCCCCCAGGGGTCCTTAGCTCTGCCACCGCTGCTAGTTACTGCGCTCACTAGCTGTGAGCCCGCTGGCGAGCCTGGCTTCAGGCTGAGCAGCGCTCCACCTATGGGAGCACACTGACCACCAGGGGGCAGCTCCTGCACTCAGCATCTGCCCCCTGGCGGACAGTGCACGTCATAGCAACCGGTCATTCCACCATTCGGTCAATTTGCATATTAACCTCTTATTATATAGGATAATGTAATTTATGTATTATATAAATGTTATATGTTATCCATATATTTACATATAAGATACTATATGTTATAATTTTTACATATATTCTATCCTTTTCCTTATTTTAAATTGCTCTACAGATAATTATCAGAAGTAAAACAACAGAAATGTAGTATAGGCTTAGAGCGCAAGTAAAAATAGAAAGTATGACAACAATAGCACATAAGATGGGAGGGAGGAGCTGGAGTGTGCTACTGTAAAGGTCTTATATTATGCATGAAGTACTATAATATTACTTGAAGGTAGACTGTGATTAATTAAAGATGTAGACTGCAAGCCCTAGGGCAATCGCTAAAAAATTATAAAGGGAGGTATAAATAATAAACCGAAAGCGGAGTAACATTTAAAACACTCGTTGAAAAAACCCCATGGAAATAGAGGGGGAAAGGAACAAAGAACAGATGGAAGAAGTAGAAAATAAAATGATGGTAAATTTTAATGCAATCGCATTGATAATTAGTTATATGTAAACGACCAAACATAGCAACATACAGATAGAGATGTTAACATTGGACAAAGAAATAAAGACTAGGTATGTTGTCTGCAGGAGGCTCCGTTTAAAGCAGAAGAACAGCGCACAAGCCTTGAGCAATCCCGGCCCTCGAACACGACCGGTCTGTCACCCGCGCACAGTTGGCCTCGGTACAGGGAAATGATCCAAGCGGTTTTGACCCTGTCATGTGAGCGCTATTAAAAGCAGGGTTTTCTCCAGGAGGCGACAGCAGGGCACTCGGGTAGCTTGGAAGCACGAGAGGGATTCCATAGGAGGGAGCTCCGCTGCCGAGTGGAGGGGCCACAGGGCCCAGATCTGAGAGTGGCTTCCAGGAGCTGAAGGAGACCGGCAGCTAACAGACCGCTGGGACTTCAGTCCCACCGCCTGAACGAGTTTCCGGACGGTGAGATCTGGGCACAGCTCCGGAGCTAACAAGGCACTAAGTTTGTGGTGTAGAGGGGGCTTACGGGGGGTGGGGAGTGGGGTGGGGCGGGGACATCTCTAATACTTTGAACAATAAAGATAAATTAAAAAACGATAAAGTCACTAAGCTTGTATTAATTTACTCCATAGCAACAGAAAACTAATATAGACGGAAAGACACATACCATGCAAACACTCATCGAAAGAATGCTGGAGTGACTAAATTATCAGGTACTTTGGAACAAGGAACACCATCAGCAATCAAGTCAGGCATTATCTATAATAATCTATAACAATAAAAGCATAATATGCTAATTAGACCAGACGTCTTTCCAGACAACCTTCCTGACGAAGCCGGGCTGCGAGGGAAGCCCCCCGGGGGAAGGCAGGCCGGCTCTTGCACGAATTTCGTGCATCGGGCCTCTGGTGTGATGAGAAAGGGGTCAATCCATCAAGAAGACATAACAATCCTAATATGTCTGCACGCAATAACAGAGCTTCCAAATGTATGAAGAAAAACTGAGAAGGCAGAAAGGAGTAATAAATCCACAATTACAGATGGAGATTCCACAGTCCTCGCTCACCGACCGTCAGAACAAGCACCGAGGACTCTGTCAGCACGGAGGAGACCCGAACCTGCAGCCCGGCCCCTATGTGGTGGCCCACCCTGAGTGCGAACGAAGACACAGGAGACCCAGAGGTGCGAGAACGGGCGAGACGTCCATTTCTGGCTCCACGCCAGGCCCTGCCTCGTTTTTCCTCAGCCTGCCTCGGAGACCTGCGCAATCCCACCAAACTCCCTTTTGCCTAAGTTCCCCAGAACAGGTGTCTGCTGTTGGCACACAAGAGCCCTAACTAATCAAACAGATGCCGCACACCTGGGGACGTGAGCAGCGTCTGGAGGGAGGGTCTATTTGCATGAATAAAGGGGGTGGGGGACCACACTGCCCAGGAGATAATTCCAGACTCAAGTCAGCCCAAGTGACCTTCCTTTTCACATTCCACTTGCCCTCCCACCACCCCTGGTACCTGTGGCCCAGTGGTAAATATCCCAGTCGTTACTGGGCTCGTTGATCAGGCGATCGTACAGGTTCAGCTGTTTCTCCGTCATTTGATGCAGATACTCTTTAGCAAAGAGGCTAAAACGAGAGAGGGGGGCAGAGAGAGAGGAACAGTTAAAAGGCCGGGCGGCTCAGGCCACGGGGCGCGGCACCGAGCCCGGCGCACCTGAGCAGGATGCAGTTCTCCAGCATGCCCCGCTTCCGGCTCTCGTACAGCAGGCGGGCCCTTTTGGTGGCGATGGGCTCGTCGGTTCGCTCCTGCCACGGGGGCAGCGGGATCTCGATCATGTCCTTCTGGGAATCTGACGGGCTGTCCCCTCGGTAGGAACGGCTGAAGGCCGTCACGCTGGGCAAAGGAGACCTGAGGTGTTGCCTGGACAGCGCGAGCCTCTGAAACAGACAGACCACGGACATCTTTTCAGCATCAGGTGGCATCACTGCCACCCCCGCACGCGCTAGGTGCGAAGCATTTGGTTTCACCGGGTCCTCGAGAAGCTTCGCCACAGCTGGCCCCACTTTACAGCTTTGAGGCGGGGGCTCAGGGAGGCCAAGACACCACTCCGACAGAAACTGCAGTGAGGCCCGAAACCCAGCTCTGGCAGCAAACGTCCTTAACCAGTCCCTTCTGAAAGTTCTCCAGCAGACGTACATCCTCCCTCCCTCCCTCCGATGCATTCCCTTCCGGTGCCGTGTGTGTTTTTGTCTCCTGACTGTGTTAAAATCTGGCGGCACGGACCCTAACCCTCCAACGGCTCCCAATTGAGAGACAGGCAAAGCCTCTCATGATGCCATGAGAAGGTACTCATGTCAGCAAGACGGCAGGACAGGCATTCTCCCCCCGCCCTCACCCCAACTCTCCTTCTCCCAGAAACCATCACCTCCGGTCCCCTTTACGAGAAATCCCGAAACCAGTGAAGAGGCTCCTAACCCCAGGCAAGCATGCAGCAGCCGCATCAAAGCTGGAAGGAAAAGCCAAGACAATCCTTCATCTCGGTCCCTCCCCCTGGCTCAGCCGGTGCAACTGAAGAAAACCCTCAGCTCCTGGCGCCTCCCTCCAGAGAGAGAGAGGGGAGCCTGAGACATACGCCCAGCATGCCCACTTCTGGGGGGGCTGCTGGATGGGCTAGTGTTTGTCCTCTCTGAATCTAAGTGCTGGCAGGCGATGGGTGCTGTGAGAACACAGGCAAGGTGTTTGGACTGGCCGGCACTCACCCACCAGGGCCCCCTCCCCCAGCTCAGCACAGAAGGAGAAAGCCCCAACTCCTGGCTTTTTAAATGGAAATGTATCCAACTCCCTAACCAAAAAGCATGGATAAAACAGTAAGAACCAACGGCCCCGGCCAGTGTGGTTCAGTTGGTTGGAGCATCGTCCCACACATGGAAAGGTCGCAGGGTCAATCCCTGGTCAGGGCTGGTAGAAGGCAACAGATAAATGTTTCTCTCACCCATCGACGTATCTCTCTCTCTCCTCCCCCTCTCTCTAAAGTCGATAAGCATGTCCTTGGGTGAAGATTTAAAAAATAATAAGACCCAACTAAATACTGTTACATGAGACTCATTTTAGATGTAAGGATACACATGGGCTGAAGTGAAAGGATGGAAAAAAGATATTTCATGCAAAAGTGAGAATGACCCTACTCATATCAGATGAAACAGACTTTAAGTAAAAAAACGGCCAGGGGAAAAAACCACACCTGTCAAGAGGTAAAGAAGGGCATTACATAATGATAAAAAGGGCAATTCATCAGGGAGATACAACCATGATACATACACACGCCGTCAACATCAGAGCACCCACATATATGAGGCAAACGTTGACCAGATAGAGAAGCAGCAACACAATGACAGGAGAGTTCCATACCCCACAGAGCATCCAGGCAAAAGATCAATACGGAAACAGAACTTGAACACTACAGACCCAACTGACCAGACAGACAGACATATCCAGAACTTTCCACCCACCAGCAGCAAGAACATGTTCCTCTCAGGCACACGGGGAACTTTCCCCAGGTGAGACCACCTCGAAGTTACAACACACGTCTCAGAAGGGTGAAATTATACGAGACCTCTTCTGACAACCATGGCAGGAAGCTGGGAAGAGCCGAAGGAAGGCTGCAACATTGGTAAGTATGCAGAACCAACACACTTAGCCCATGTTCAATTGAATCCAAGAAGGAATCGGAAGGGAGGTGAGGAAATGTCTGGAGACCAAAGACACACATACAAACTGTTAGTAGGCGCAGCAAAGGAGCACTCAGAGGGAGGAATACGACGGGAAACATTAAACAGGAAAGAAAGATTAAACAGGAAACATCAGACAGGAAGAAAGGCCGTATGATGCAACGTGAGGTCATGGAGGTGTCAGGTAGGAGTCAGAACAGAGTCCCCGGCGGAGAGGAGAACTCGCATGGGTCGGGCAGGAAGCTGATCTATTCTAACTGCCCCGCGGGACAGCCCGCGGCGGGCCCGGGAGAGGGGGGAGCGGCCTGAGCTCCCAAGTTTGCAAGAAGGACCTCTGCCCGGGTCTGTCCTCGGGTCTGTCCTCGGGTCTGTCCCCCCCGGACCGCCAGCAGCCGGACGGCCCCGCGAGACGGCGGCGGAAGACGAGACCCGGGGTCCGCTGGGGCCCCAGCACCCGCACGCTCCTCACCCGCGCCAGAGCCGGCAGCACGGCGGCCAGGGCCATTTTCCCCCGACCTGGACCGGAAGCCGGTGCCCCGGCCACTTCCGGGAACTCCCGAGGCCGGCCTCGCGGAAGACGCGCCGGAGCCGGAAGACACTTCTCTGCGTGTGACGGAAGTGGCCGTGCGTCTGACGCCCCTGGCGGAGGGGAGGGGGGAGGCGGGCTCTGGGGGGCCGTGAGCGGTTCGCGCGCTTCGGGCCTAGTCCGGACTCGCCGCCTCCGCCGCCATATTCCCGGTAACGGGGGCGCGCGGCCGGGGGCCGGCGGGGCCGGAAGAGGGCTCGGGGCCGGCGCCGAGGCGGGGAGGGGGTCGGTTGAGTCGGGGGCCGTGGGAGGCGGCGGAGGGAGGGGGGAGGCGCGGGCCTTTGTGGGAGGGGGCTGCGGGCGCTGGGCCGGGGCTGCGGGACGGAGCGGGGCGGGCCTCGCTGGGGGCGAGGACTGGGCCTGGGCGCGGAGCGGGGGCGGCGGGAGCCCAAGACCCGCGGGGCCGCGGACCCGGCCGCCCGGGGCCTAGGCAGGTGCGGCGGGCGGGGGCCGCGGGCTTTGCCTCGGGCGTTCTTGGCAGCGCCGCCCGCGGCCCCTCGGAGCGGAGGCCCGGACATGCCCGCGGCGCCGTGGCCAGCTGCGGTGCCGCTCGGGTCGGGCCCGAGGGTGATGGGCAGCGAGCCCCGCGAGCCTGGCGGCCCGGGAGAGCGAGGGGCGGCGCGAGGCCGGGGGCGGGGCGGGGCGCGGCGGGTGGGGCCGAGCTCGGGGCCCCGAGGCTGCGTCTCTGGAGACCGGGAGGTTGGCAACCATTGCCCTCCGCCCAGCCCGGGGACCCGCATGCCGTCTAACTCTCGCCTCTCTCTGGGTATTGCAGTGGCATCTTTCTTACTTGGTCCGCTTTCCGGGCTCGCGATCTGCCTTCCGGAGCCATGTCAGAAGGAGTGGACTTGATTGATATATACGCCGACGAGGAGTTCAATCAGGTGAGGGGTCGCCGAGAGCGTGGGGACTCCCGGGTCAGCCGGGAGCCACCTCCAGCATACTTGCAGTGGCTCCAAGTTCCGCCCGCCCGTCGGGGGTTTGCTGCCTTGAACACGCGCCTCTGCCGGGTCCCTCTAGCGCACACTTCCAAGTCCTCTGACCGCTGTGTGTGTTAATTTAATCCCAGGCTTCATTAGCAAGGCTTTGATTTAAGAGCATATAAAAGTCAGGTTTCATGGAATGGTGCATCAACCTGTGGAATGTGCTGCCCCAGGAGCCAGAGTTGGATGCCCATCTCCTCCGAGGCTAACCGCACTCACAGACCAGAATTCGGTTTCCTCAGCGTTCCTGGGACAACGCTGACATCTGTTCCTTTGTGATTGTCCCGGACTGCAGCAGGGAAATAGCTGTTAGTCCCCCCTCTCTCCCATAAGGCAGTGCAAAGGCACACTACCAAGATACTCTGACATTTAATCTCAGCTCCCTTCTGATTGCCTTAATCTCCTCTAACTAGCTTGACTCCAGTCTGAAGAAGGCATTTTGGTGGAGTCCGTTTTACTGATGAATGTAATTTTTGTTTGGGAGGTTAGGGGAGAGGCGAAGGCTTGGGTCAAACAGTTGAAAAGCAGGTATAGACCACTTACATACTTAAGTTGGATTCGTTGGTGCTTTTATGTTACCTCAAAGAACATTATACAGTGACTTTCCTGGAAACAATCATTTAAAATTTGATTCCGAGCTCTTGAGGTCACAGCTCAAGAAAGTCGCAGAGTCTCTGTTTAAAACTTCGTATCTTGCCCGGGTTGTTTCCAGCATGCTTGTTTCCAGCTTGAGTAAGCTGGTTCTTCCCATTGGCATCGCTTATGGGAAGCACGCTAGGGCTTGGGAAAGGTAAAAGAACAAACCAGAGGAGGAAAGTCTGCTGCTTGGACTCTGGCTTGGATATGAGGCAAAAGAAGAGGCTGAAATACATGCTGGTTTTTTGTTTGTTTTTTCCACTTGGCATAAATTTAAATGGAAAAAAAGCTTTTTAAAGTATTATGCCTTTTTAACATAAAGATTTTAAAACCCAAAATAAGAATGTAATGACCTTGTATCCATTATACAGCTTCACCAGTTATACTTTTTTTTTTTTTTTTAAATGTTTTTATTGATTTTTAGAGAAAAAGGAAGGGAGAGGGGGAGAGAGAGAAACATTGTTCAGCTGCCTCCTGCAACGCGCACAGATGTGCCCTCACCGGGAATTGAACCACTGACCTTTGGTATGTGGGGTGATGCTCAACCAACTGAGCCACACAAGCCAGGCACCAGTTACACTTTTTTTTTTTTTTTTTTTTTTTTTTTGTAAATATAATTTTATTTCAGAGGGAGAGAGAGAGAAACATCAATGAAGAGAGAGAATCATTGATTGGTTGTCTCCTGCACATCCCCATTGGAGATCAAGCCTACAACCCGGGGAATGTGCCATAACGGAATCACACCATGACCTCCTGGTTCATAGGTTGATGCTCAACCTCTGAGCCAGCCGGGCACCAGTTACCCTTTTTTTCAATAGTCGTTTTCTGGTGTCTCCTCAGGTAAACTGGATGAGTCTACATGTGGGTGTTGATTGACTTAAATACATGAATAAATTTTTGTTAATTTCAAACAAGTCAAATACTATAGATAAAAAGAAAGGTTTAATGTAATAAGTAGGTTACAAACCATTGCTTTCCTGAGTTTTCCGTGCTACTTTGAGGCAGACTTACTACCTTTTAACAAGTTACGGTTTGTTTTTAAGCACAAAATGATAGAAAGAAAAGAAGACTCCTGCGGAGTTGGCTCCCTCCTGTGGGTGGGAACGGCGCCGCTTTGGGAAAGGGGAGGCAGGGGTCCCTGACCGGAGGTCTAGCCACAGCTGGCCTAAGAAAGCGAAATTTCATTATTTCCCGAACAGCGTAAGTTGTAGGTCAGAGACAAGACTCCGGCCTTGTCCAGAGGTCACTGCTTTGTCAGAGGAGAAGTCCTTGGCCTCTACGATTTGTGTCCTCTTGACTACTTGCTAAAAGGAATTTTGTATGAGTCTTAAGATAAGCCAGAGATGGTGTGTGGGATCTAGTAGACATTTATACCAAACAGACAATATTTGATTCTCGGCAAGTTGAAGAAAGTGGAGATTTTTAATGTCTTGTGGAAGGTTGGGGGAGGGGTGCTTTTTACCCCCATCAGGGAGTTAATTTTTGGCAGAAATTGTTTTAGTGTTATTGGGAGGGTGCTGAAGAAATAATGAGAGCTCTGTCCGGCTGGAATTGTTAGAAGCAGGCTCAGGGTGAAGCAGTTAGGACAGATAGTGTTTCAGGGTGTTTTAAGAATGTTCTTGATTAACCCCAAAGTGACCCAGGCGCAAAATCTCCATCACACGGACTTTGTTCCCCAGGGAAAAGGAATGCCTTTCCTAGATGGAACCCCACGGTGCTGGCTCCATGATCTCTCCCATGTGCTGCGAAAGCCTCTTACAGGCTCTCCTGTGTCCCAGGGGGGCTGGAGCCAGCTCCTCCCTGGGCAGGGGGAGGCTCTCAGCTGCTGCCTCTCCTGAGTGTTTGTCTCCGCTCCTTGCAAGACAGGCAGGCGCTCTGTGCAGTCGGCCAGTTCTCCTCTTTACTCCCAGCAGCAGGTGTTTACTGAGCGCCTTCTATTGGCCAGGCCTGTGTTGGGACCAGTGAGGTAAAGGGGAAGAAGCATCATATGCTCAAAAGAGGTGTTTCTGGTGGCTGAGGGTAATGGAGAGTGACAGGAGGCTGTTAGGTGAGGACTGTGGCGATGGCAATTATAAAACCTGAATGTGTTAGCTTTGGTTACAGTTAAAAGAAGCAGTGCTATCAAGTAGAGAAAAGTAAGTCCTCTCAGACATCAAGGAAAGGGGGCTGGAGATGAGCATGCTGATGAGGAATTATGTAAATTTAAAATTCTGCTAGTTCTCTTGTTAACCATGAAGCGTCACGAGACAGTGACAGCTCTGTGCTGTTTAACACCAAGTTCTTTGTGAGATAGTCATTCAGTATTAAATGCTGCTTTTTTTTTTTTTTTTTTTAAATATATTTTATTGATTTTTTACAGAGAGAGGAAGGGAGAGAGATAGAGAACCAGAAACGTCGATGAGAGAGAAACACCGACCAGCTGCCTCTTGCACACCCCCCACTGGGGATGTGCCCGCAACCAATGTACATGCCCTTGACCGGAATCGAACCTGGGACCTTTCAGTCCACAGACCGATGCTCTACCACTGAGCCAAACCGGTTTCGGCTAAATGCTGCTTTTTAAGTAAAATTTTTGGTTTGTTTTTTTAATATATTTTAATTGATTTCATAGAGGAAGGGAGAGAAAGAAACATCATTGATGAGAATCAATGATCAGCTCCCTCCTGCACACCCCACACTGGAAATTGAGCCCGCAACCTGGGCATGTGCCCTGAGCAGGAATCAAAGAGTAACACCTCTCTCCCTCTCTCTCTCTCTCTCTCTCTCTCTCAGTAAAAAATGTTATTGTTAATTTGTAGATTTAGGTTTTGCCTTAACCTAATGCATCACTGCATAAATCATTCACTTATTTGTCACCAGAAAAAACTTGAGGTCATTATCTGTTCTTTGTTTTACCAACCAGAAGTAAAATGAATTGATGTCACTAGCAGATTTAAATCCAAATACAAATGTATATACCTTGTTTCTTCAGTAAAATTTTACCTCAACACAACCCTCAGCAGGCCTTCCTGTGCAGGGGAACAGCTCGTCACCCCTGAGCTGAGGCTCTATGGCCCAGAGAACCCATGTTGTCCCATGACAGCTGTGCACTGGCTGAAGCCTTTTTTCGTGCAGTTGAGGTGACCCATGCAGCAGGGCCTCCAGGGACAGCCGGGTTCTCCGAGGGACCCTGAGCGAGCAGCTGATTTGCTAAGGCTTACAATACAGGGACACCCTGGCCATACGTTTGCTTTTTGAGCTACCCAAGTCTGAATGTTGGTTTGTTACCCAATTACCAGTGGTAATTTTTGTCTTACAGCTTTCAGATACCCATTCCTTCCTTACATGGAAGGAATTCCAGCTTGATTCCACTGACTATCCAAGATGGTGTGTTTTAATTTCCATTTCAAAATTCTTGATTAAAAAAAGAAAGCCTAGCCGAAACCGGTTTGGTTCAATGGGTAGAGCGTTGGCTTGGGGACTGAAGGGACCCAGGTTCGATTCCGGTCAAGGACATGTACCTTGGTTGCGGGCATATCCCCAGTAGGGGGTGTGCAAGAGGCAGCTGATCGATGACTTTCTCTCATCGATGTTTTTAACTCTCTATCTCTCTCCCTTCCTCTCTGTACAAAAATCAATAAAATAAATTTAAAAAATAAAAATAAAAAAATAAAAAAAGAAAGCCTAGTATGAAGTAGTGCTCTCCAAGGATTAGGTCATTGGAGAGGATCAAGTGCTTTCTCTCTCTTTAACCACAAGGGAAAATTGCCATAGTTGGTACATGAACAAATAAGTGATTTACATAGAGTTGCGATATTTCAAAACATAAGGTCTATAAAATATTTACACAGAATATTTGTCAACTTGGCCCTAGCTTTGTCTGCCTTACTCGGTCTATTTCCCACCCTGCTCTCCAGTGTTAGCTTCTCTCTGTTTTCCACACGCCCATTTTATGCAAGATCCTTACTTACTGGTTTGCTAGAACAGTCTTAGTGCTTGTCTGATTCCTTCTCTTGTAAGCTGCCCCTAAAAGGTTTCTCTTGCCATTCGCTTTCTGACATTTTTACAAGGTTTAGACTCCTCCCCTGTGGGGTTTCTTAGAACAGCGGTCACCAACTGGTGGTCCGTGAGGTCCGAAAGTTTGGTGACCGCTGTCTTAGAGTATCTGTGATCTTTGAAATTATTTACAAGCCTCAGGAGGTAGAAGCCTGTCCCCTTCATTAGCAAAACACTGTTACGTTGGTGTGCGCGTTTTCATTGTCCTTCAGATAAGCTGAGAAAATAAAAGACGGTTTCCAAAAGTGTGTGATGGTGTGTAGGCCTGAGTGATCTGTGCACGGCCAGTGTGGCTCAGGCTGCGTGTCAAGTGGTCCCAGGTTGGGCTCCTGGTCAGTGCCTGGGTTGTGGGCTCCATCCCTAGTGGGGAGCATGCAAGAGGCAGCCAGCGGATGATTTCTCACTGACATTTCTTTCATCTTTACCACTTCCTTCCTCTCCATCTAAATCAATGAAAACATACTTTTTAAACAATGATTTCTGTGGTGAGTCTAAACCTCTCCAGTCTCCTTTGAGAATCAGCAGTTCTTGGGTTGATAGTGAAGGGAGACAGCCATTGGAACTTTCTGTCCTGAGTTGTTTAGGCAGGAAATGACGTCAGGGAACTAGACAAGGTACCTAACACAGGTTTTCCCTTTCTTCCCTTTTTAAAAGGCATCAATGGCATGAATGAGCTGTGGCTTCCGCAAAAACACTGTGAACTTCTGTCCCTCATTTTGGCAGCTTCATCTTTAGCATTGTTTGCATGTTAGAGTGTTAGCTGGGAAAATACTTCTCTGATCCTTTAAAAAAAGATCTGAGATAATGACATTGCAAAATCTGATATTAAGATACTTCGATAGTAGTTCTTGTGGTTTTAGGGTTTTTGGTGTATAGTGTCAGTCAGCTTGGGCTTCCATAACAAAATAATAAAAATGGGGTGCTGTGAACACAGAAACTTATTTCTCACTGTTCTGGAGGCTAGAGGGCCAAAACAGGATTGGGTTCCGGTGAGGCCCCTCCTCGGGGTTGTGGACTGCGGTTTCTTACGTTCTCACCCTGGGCAGAGCAGAGGAGAGAGTGTCTCACTTGACTCTTACAAGGGCCCTAATCTCATCCATGAGCGCTTCACCCTCATCCTAATTACCTCCCAAAGGCCCCCTCCTGACACCATCCCACTGGGGAGCAGGGCTTCAGCATACACATGGGGGCGGGCACACAGACATTCAGTCTGTACAGTAACGTGTCACATAGGCAATAAGCATCTACAGCAGCGCTCGCCAGCCTGGCGGATCCCACAGATCACCAGTGGTCCTCACACCACCGGTTGGCGACCACTGTCATCCAGAATAGACATTTATAGTGTAATGCTCACTGTGACATAACTCATGGTATGGCTACATCTGTTTTCTGAGTCTTATATTTTAGAGAACTTGTCATTGTATCATTAAACATCTCTGGTATTGCTCAATGATATCTCTTCTGTAGGCGTTATGGTAATATATTGGATCTGCATGTCACTTGAGAAATAGAACTTAGTGAGGGAAAATTCCCCCAAAGTTATTAACTTTTTACTTTATTTTTTAATGTGTTTTTTTTTTAACGGTTATTGGAAAGATGGGATTGTGTACTCTGAGTTTTAGAGCTTCCCTAAATCATTTGTGTAAATCAAATAATTTTAACCAGTAATTCCCATTATTTTTTATGTTTTGGTTCCCATTTTAACATGCCTTTCCCCCGCTTTCTATTTCTAAACAATATTCTCTATTTCCTATTGAATAGAATGTTTGTGTAACTCTTGATTTTGAAAATGCATAAGATACTGAAATTTTCATTAATGTGTCTTAGACGCAGCGTTTAGAAGCTAACCTCATTGATATCAGTGTGTCTTTGCATTCTTATTTAGTCATCATTTATCTTTTAATTCTCACAAGTGCCTGGAGCTAGAAACATTGCAGACAACTCACAGGGTCTTAGAAGAAAAACCTACGTGAGCATAATTAAGTGAAATAGCTGTAAATGAGGAAGTTTCCTAGAGTAGGACAAGGAAAGTTTTGTACATTTTATAAAGTATTTGTGGCTCTAAGTACACTAGAGTGAACTAGAATGGACAAAATGAAAGGTTTGCAAACCCATCTTTGCTGACCCCTCATCTCTTAGGACCCAGAGTTCAACAATACAGACCAGATTGATCTGTATGATGACGTGTTGACCGCCACCTCCCAGCCCTCAGATGACAGAAGCAGCAGCACTGAGCCACCTCCTCCTGTTCGCCAGGAGCCGTCTCCCAAGCCCAATAACAAGACCCCTGCAATTCTGTACACCTACAGCGGCCTGCGGAACAGGCGGGCGGCTGTGTACGTGGGCAGCTTCTCCTGGGTGAGCGTGGGCAACCTCACAGGCTGTGGGGGCTGAGGGAGAGCCCGGGGAGGTGATGGCATTTTCAAAACCCAATGTCGCACTGTTTTGTGCTCTGATGGGGTTGGATTTCTTTTTCCTGGGATCAGGTTGGATTGATCTCTGAAAGAGAACTATCCTGAGGACGTTCTGATGCCGAAGAACGCAATGATTAAGTGGGTAGTTGCTTTTTCTGTCATCTTGTTACCACCCCTGACCCTGGGGCTTTATGTCTAGCAGGGTCATCTGTGGGATGAGATTGCAGAGTGAATACCTTGAACTCTTGGTGGTCATTAGATGGTCCTGTGATAATGATGGGTGACAGGGATCAAAGACCTTGATAGCTCTAGTACACCCGGGGTAGGTGGTGATTGTTGCTCTGCAAGTTACTGTGTGACCTGTTTTTGGGCTGGGGGGGGGGATTGTTCTTCAGATTAGGAAATGTATGAGCTGGGGGGAAAGTGGTAGAGCTCTGCGGATCAGACCGTGGTCAGATCTGTGGATCAGACCTGTGATTAAAAGCTGCGAGTCTCAGCGTTTGAGCTGATGACCAGACAGCCCAAATGGCAGTCAAAGTTAAACTAGGTTTGGCTCTTACTCTCTAAAGGTGGGGACTGTGGAGGGGGTCAGGGGACAGTAAGAAAATCCTGCACCAATTGAAGTGCTGATGGGCTTTGGGGTCTCCTGAGGGAGGTCATGGCTGTGACTAGAATCCTAGGCTTGGGGAAAGGGTTGGGACGTTCTGGGTTGGGGGTGGGGGCAGTGTAGCTCCTGACATTTCTTCCTTTTCCATTTTGCCGGCCCAGTGGACCACAGACCAGCAACTAATCCAGGTTATTCGCTCTATCGGAGTCTATGACGTGGTGGAGCTGAAATTTGCAGAGAATCGAGCCAATGGCCAGTCCAAAGGGTGAGGTCTGCGTTTGAGAAGCCCCTCTAGTTTGTAACCGTTGGAATAACAGGTCTGCACTCTCTTGGCCCTCGATTTTTTTTTTAATATATTTTATTGATTTTCTACAGAGGAAGGGAGAGGAACAGAGAGCCAGAAACATCGATGAGAGAGAAACATCGATCAGCTGCCTCCTGCACACCCCCTACTGGGGATGTGCCCGCAACCAAGGTACATGCCCTTGACCGGAATCGAACCCAGGACCCTTGAGTCTGCAGGCCAACACTCTATCCACTGAGCCAAACTGGTTTCGGCTTGGCCCTGGATTTTAACCCCTCCAACCCCAGGCCCAGTTCACTGCCTTGATTTTGGCAAATTGCCTTAGAATGGGGCCTGGCTGCAATGTCGTAGAACATTTATCCCTTGAGGGGCAAAGAAAGCTGACTTCTAATTTCAAATAAGTAGGAAGATTATAGACTGACACCTTTTTGTTGTTGGTAGAGTGTGTGTGTGTGCAGTAATAGCAGGATATTGTTTGCTTGGCCAGTTTTCACTAAAAGTGAAAGAAAATGTCTTTGTTCTTCTGTTGTCTGTAGATCTCACTCATTTTTAATGTTTCTTCCTCAGGTATGCTGAGGTGGTGGTAGCCTCTGAAAACTCTGTCCACAAATTGTTGGAACTCCTGCCAGGAAAGGTTCTTAATGGAGAGAAAGTAGACGTGAGGCCAGCCACCAGACAGAACCTGTCACAGTTTGAGGCCCAGGCTCGGAAACGTGAGTGCGTCCGAGTCCCAAGAGGGGGTACGTGGCGACCATCTGTACGAAGGGGGGAATGCTGTGGATTTGTCTTCTGTGCTGTAGGCTCAGCCTACAGTGTGGAGGAATTTGGGGGAGGGAAGGGGAGGAAAGGGTGGTTGTGGGTGGCACCATGGTCAGGTTGGCCCCAAATGAGGCCTGTGTGAGAGTCAGGTTTAGGTTTTACTTTGGTTCTGCCACTAAGTCATGTGACTGTGGGCTTATTTCCCCATCTGAACTAGATACATGATGTTTAAAGTGCCTGTCAACTCTAAATTGTGTGTTTCTGCCTGAAAAAAACCCTCAGTATATAGTGAATGAATGGGCTTAATTTATAAATTTTTTAAGAAGGAGCCATCCTAAAATATAAGCAAGGTATATAGAGATGGCTGTAATCTATTTATCTATCTATCTATCTATCTATCTATCTGCCTAAGCAACCAGTCGACTGTCTGACCAGTAGCTATGACACGAACTGACCACCAGTGGGCAGATACTCAACAAAGGAAGCTGCTGAGCTGCAGTGACTTGACAGCTGTGGTTCTTGGATAATGTACCTGGAACAGAGAGGAGGGAGCCCGATTCTGGGGTGCATCACCCAAGAACCACCCTCTTGCAATCCAGGACCCCTTAGGGGATATCGGAGAGCCCATTTCAGCCCCATCCCTGCAGGCCAGGCTGCAGGACCCCACTGGTGCATGAATCCATGCACCGAGTCTCTAGCCCATTGGCTCCCCACTTTGGGTCTGGCTCCCCACCAGGCCTCTAGCCCTTTGCAGAGGTCGTGGGTCTGGCCCTTACAGAAACTTTTCGACTCATTTAGCTAAATGATGAGACGTGCAGGACCTACTGGCTATGGTCCCAATGTTTGGTGCCCACACTGACTCATCCGCTTAATACTGATTTCCAGTGGAGGCAGCGAATTTTCCTGCGACCATTCTCACTGGGAAACTGGCCGTGGCTTCCCTCCTTCTGGGCAGACAGTAGCGCCAATGGGCAACCTCCAGGGAGGGAAGGCACAAAGGTGCAGCTCAGGTAGAAAGAAGGAGGTTCCTGCTGCTACAGGACTCTGCTTGGGCAGAAGGGCCTGGGCAGGATCCTGACATTGAGCAGGGCCCTGCCCTGGGCCTATTAGATTCCAGGCTAAGAAAATCCTGTTTGCTAGTAAACAATTGCATTTGCAAACAAAACAAAACAAAAAAACAATTGCTTTTGCAGCTAAATGCCCACAAGGCTTCAGTTCCTGCCAAACTTAGGGTAAAGTGAGGTGAAAGAAGTGAGACAGATATAGAGAGAAAGTGACAAAATATTGGGAGAAGAGAGGAGGGAGCCTGATTCTGGGGTGCATCAACCAAGAACCACCCTCTCACATCTGGGACCCCTTTGGGGATGTCAGGGAGCCGTTTTCTGCCTGATCCTTGCAGGCCAGGCTGAGGGATCCCACCAGTGGACGAATCCGCACACCAGGCCTCTAGCTTGTCATAAACCAAGATCGGAAGGTGCTCTGTAAGGAAGTGATCTAAAGATGTGCTGGAGAAGGTGCATTTAACAGTGTTTCTCCAGCATTTTCTAGGGACACTCTTGCAGTTGCTGGATATTTTAGTCTGTTTGGCAAGTATTTCTTAGAAAAGAAAGTTGCATCATATTACCTTAGCTCCACGCTAGCATCTCTTAGTGCCTCTTACTCCTTTTATTCCGGCTCTGCCCACCACGCACCTTCTGATCCTGATTTGGTTTCCCAGCGAGGCTCTCACTGGGAAGGGAATGCCCTGACCAGCTGCTGCAAGTGTTCGCTCTGCTTGGCAGCTCTGTTTCTCGTTGTAAATTAATAAAATGGCACTCTGGTTTATGAATCGGTCTCTGGTGAGTTTGGTTAGTATGAATCCGTCTCCTAGGGTTTGATCACCCCTGGTGAACGGTTCAAGTTGAGTTTCTGAACCTGGGAAACCTGAGAACCAGACCTTGGATTGGCCTGACCTCATGCAGTGCGGCCACCTGTCAGGCCCTGTCTGAAACAGCCAGCTGCCTTCACTCTGCCTTTCCTGCAGGGGGAGCTTTGGGGTGGCTCACATTGATTGGGGGGCCCATGGGAACCGTGTATTGATTGATGGGAGGTGGAGCCCTGGCCCCTGCTCTCTTGGGTAGGAACAGCTGTCCTTTTACTAGATGGAGAGCTTAGATGGCTGTGGGCTGAGCGTCCATTGCTCTGGTTCAGAAGGCACACACTTCCTCCTTGACAGCTTGTACTTTCCAGTTCCTTCAGTTTTAGTCTCCCTATAAAACAGCCTTCTTCAGATTCCCTAAGGTGCATCATTTTCCAGTTGCGTCAGGGGCCACACTCCTAACTTCGCACGGCCGTTTGTTCCTTGGTGCTGCCTTCCTTTGCTGAAATGGTGGTGGTGGCTGAGCGCTGTTTTTCTATGTTGTGGACTTGGCCTCTGTTCACTCGCTGAGTACACTTGGGTGGACTTGCTTTGCTAAAAAAATGTTGGGATTTGTAGCCAAAGATATAAAACAGCCTTGTGGATGAGGGGACAGTAGGTGGGAAGGTGGCTAACTGTCAGAGCTCACACTCACTTAACACTTGTTCTCCCTTCGGTGTGGGAGAGCGTGGGGAATACACAAGGTGCCGTGTGTTTGAGACAGAAAGGTGCTCCGACGGCACTGTGATAAGCTGCAGTAGGGAAACGGCAGTGGTTGCAGGGCGGCGACCCCCCTTCTGCTGGAACCGGAGTGGGTGTCCTGACAGGTTCGAGTCTAAGGAGCGCTCTTTCCACACTGTCTGCTGACGGTGTCTTTCTGCCTCGGAGACTCCCACGGCCAAGCGATCTTCTGTTGGAGTCCACGCTGGCCAGGCCTAACGTGGCTGCTAGTGGCAGGGAACAGGTGTAAGCAGGGGCTTGACAGTGCCAGGGCCATGCTTTCAGCTGTATGCCAACACGCTCTGAGCCCGCTGTGCCTCACACCACACAGCGTGCTCTGACTGCATGCTGCCCTGTGGGGAGAACATGGGGTCATTGAAATGTAGCCCTGGGAGTTCCCACAATTGTGGCATGTTTTATCCCAGGCGTTTGCTAGGAGTCTGTTCTCAGCTGTGCGCATCTGCTCTTCTGTGGGCAGACTCTTCCTGGCTTACCTCCCATTGTCTCTACCTCCCAGTCTCCGGTCTTCTCTTGGTTGTGTGTCTCTTTCATCCCAGTTACCACTTTGGTATGTGGATGAAGTGTCGCCCATCCCGAACCCTCCCTTCTCTTTCCCCAAACTCTCTCGGTCAAGTGCCTGGGCGAGGAGGAAATCCCAAGTGTGCAGCAGGAGCAGGTAGAGAAGGTCGACTAGCGCCAGGCTAAGGTCCTGCATTCTTACCAGGGGACATAGAATTCCAAATCCGATTGACTCCAGCTGAACAGGGATGAACATACTCACATTGTCATTTCTCATGGGGATTAGGATCCTTCTGCACTTAAAAATACAAGACAGATCTAAGGATAAATGTGAGGCATGGATGGTTCCACCCTGTTTCTCCGAAAATAAGACAGTGTCTTATATTAATTTTTGCTCCCAAAGATGCGCTAGGTCTTATTTTCAAGGGATATCTTATTTTTCCATGAAGAAGAATACGGTACACATTTATTGTTAAATGAAAATAAAAGGAAATTTATTACCTGTATACGGTATGGTAGTACGGTAGTTGTCAACATAAACCAGACAAACTGAATCCTACAGTATCAAGAATTTACTTGCCAAGACTGGTTTGGCTCAGTGGATAGGGCGTCGGCTTGGGGACTGAAGGGTCCCGGGTTCGATTCCGGTCGAGGGCATGTACCTTGGTTGCGGGCATATTCCCGGTAGGAGGTGTGCAAGAGGCAGCTGATCGATGACACTCTCTCATCGATGTTTCTAGCTCTCTATCTCTCTCCCTTCCTCTCTGTACAAAATCAATAAAATATATTTAAAAAAAAAAAAAAAAAGAATTTACTTGCTGAAGTTTGGCTCAGTGGTAGAGCGTCGGTCTGTGGACTGAAGGGTCCCAGGTTTGATTCCGGCCAAGGGCATGTACATTGATTGCGGGCACATCCCCATAGGGGGTGTGCAGGAGGCAGCTGGTCGATGTTTCTCTCTCATCAGCGTTTCTAGCTCTCTATTTCTCTCCCTTCCTCTCTGTAAAAAAATCAATAAAATATATTTTTAAAAAGTAGGGGGAAAAAAGAATTTACTCATTTATTCAATGACAATCTTGTCATCATCTTCTGGAACATCATCATAACAATCCAATTCCTGAGTTTCCTGGTGAATTTCTTGTGAATCCATTCTTGCAGAATCAGTGGACCAAATCTCTCATGTTTAGCAATAACACTGTCTTTAAATGAGTACTTCTTGTCAAGGTAGCCTGCTCACAGTGCATTTGCAATGCAACTGTCAGTGATTTTTTCCCATGAATTCTTCACCCAAGTCACAGCTTCTTGCAGTTTAGGTTTCACAAAGTTTCCATACTGATTTCTCTTCATTCTATTTTCAATGTAATCATTAATTTCCATGCGAAAATTGTCTTTGAATGGCTTGTTTATTGCAATATCAAGAGTGTGGAGATAAGCCGTCATTTCCGCGGGAATCATTATCTGATCTATTTTTCTTTCATGAAGAAATGTCTTCATGTCTTTAGCGCTGTGAGTGCTGGCTGCATCCCAGACTAGCAGACCTCTTTGGCTCCCTCGTATAACAAGTGGCAGCATTAAATCAACCCACTTCCTTATCCAGGTTTTTTCAGTTTCAAGAATAAAAACTCCCAAAACACATTCAATCTTTTCCTTCTTGCCCTTAGAAATGATTAAAGGTGGGATTTTAGTGCCATCCATATGAATTGCCAAAATACAGGAAACACGTGCGCTTTCGTAAGCAGTGGATGGAATGTACACTAAGGAGGCACCCTACTGTTCAATTGTTGTTTGAGATGATTGGCCCATAAACACTGCAGTTTCATCCATAGCAATCATGTTGGAAAGATTGTATTTAGAGAAGTCAGCATCATCAATAAAGGACTTGAATGCAAGTGCTCGCTTAATAACTTAAGTATCTTCCAACCTAAGCATTGTTGTACCGGTAGATCTTCTTAAAGACAGTTCACTTTGCTGAGGAAATTATCCAGCCAGTGTTGTGATGCTTGGAAGTCTTCGGGGGCTATATCAAACTGTGGTGCCATTGCAAGGGCAAATTCTTGAATCTGAGCCCTATTCACAACCAAAGCCTTTGCTCTCCTGTCAACAACCCATTCACAGATCAGGTCTTCCAGCTCGGAAAATAATGGTTGCTGACCTGATCCACACTTGCGCTTTTTAGCATTTCCCTTGTCCACTTGTTCAATGAGGTTACCTACTCTGCTCGCCATTTTCGGACCAATCGGACACAACATCTTCTCTTTGCAGAAAGCAGTAAGATTTTGGCCCCAAGAGTCTTCCACGATTCCTTTCTTGTACTCCACGGACTAGCTTTTTCTTTTTGCGCTCATTTCTAGGGGTAAAAAAAAAAAGGAATTGGGGTATCAAGGTGGGGGGAGGGGGGTCACTTAAAATGACACGGGGGTGATCAGAGTGGGGAATCAAAATGGCACAGGAGAATCAGAAGGGGGATTACCATTTTAGTAACCCCTTTTAATCCTCCTGTGTCATTTTGATTGCCCCCTCTTTTCCTCCTGTGTCATTTTAAGTGATCCCCCTCCCTCCCCCCCTGTGCCACTGAACACCTTCACCAGACATCCCCCCACCCCTTTATCAGACATTTACCCCCTGGGGCCTGCCTGGGGACTGTCACTGGGCTTGCTGGGGCCTGGAGCAGGGTCTGCCACTGACTGAGAACCTTCAGTCATGAGGACGGCCTCGAGCATCAGGTAGTGTCACCAGAGACAGACCAGCACTCACCATCTTCGCCGTGTCCTGTCCACTCTAATCCTCCTGTTCTTCTACACGCATCTGCGAAAAGTCTCCTCTTCTCTCCCGCCCTGCGCTCACTGCTCACTCTGACCTCCGCTCGGCCTCCACACATCAGTGACGTCAGGACTCTGTGTAACGTTACTGATTGCTAAACGCCAGTCAGGGCGGCCCTAGCGACCAATTTACAGTAAATTAATTTTCATTCTGAGACAGAGCCTAGGGGAGGCCTTATTTTCGGGGGGATGCCTTATATTTCACGCAGAAGGAAAACTGTAAGTATTTTGGGAGGATGTTTTATTTTCCGGGGAACACGGTAGATAAAGGATATTTTTGACATAAGATTTAAGGTATTGCCTTCTGGATTTATGTCTTAACTAAGTCGCCTCAGCTTTTTCTCTGATGCCAAAGAAAAGGCAGTAGATGATTCTGCTTTTCAGCCACCTGTCCTTCCTCAGGAGGTAGCCAGTGGCCTGCTGGAGGACAAGCTGGTCCTGTGGGTGTGTCTACAGCCTGGGCAGTAACAGTCGTCGTTTTGTTTCACAGGAATACCTCCACGGGCTCACTCTCGAGATTCAAGTGATTCTGCTGATGGACGGGCCACGCCCTCTGAGAATCTTGTCCCCTCCTCTGCCCGCATGGATAAGCCCCCAAGTGTGCTGCCCTACTTCAACCGCCCTCCGTCAGCCCTCCCCCTGATGGGTCTGCCCCCACCTCCAATTCCACCCCCACCACCTCTCTCCTCAAGCTTTGGGGTCCCTCCTCCTCCTCCTGGCATCCACTACCAGCATCTCATGCCCCCTCCTCCTCGATTACCTCCTCATCTGGCTGTACCTCCCCCTGGAGCCATCCCACCTGCCCTTCACCTCAATCCAGCCTTCTTCCCCCCACCAAACGCCACAGTGGGGCCTCCACCAGATCCATACATGAAGGCCTCAGCCCCCTATAACCACCACGGCAGGTAAGAACTACCTGTTCCTCTCACAGCTGAGCCAGGCGTAATGGGGTAGAAGGGAAGCATTTTCTTCTCTCCAAGGAAGGAAGTGAGCACTGAATTCTGTTTCCCTTGTGGGAAACTGTAGTCATAGAGTTGAGTCCTGGGAAATACTTACCTATTAGCTAATGTTTTTATTTGGTGTTTTGTTTGCATCTTACTTAACCCAAGCCATGACCCAAGCCATGTCCTTTGTACCCCTTTTTAAGGGGCTTGATTAAAAAGAGGGGCGTAGGTAGCTGTTAGGGAGGCTATGAATGTCTAACACTGTTGTTGGGTCATGCCAGAATTACCCACGTTTATGTCTTGAGAACATGAAGCACGTGACCAGGCAGAGGCCGTATAAAAATTCACACAGGAGAGACAGTATAGGAGTCACATCATTCCTAGGGTGGTGGCAGAGGATGGTGAAGGTGAGAGGGTTTGGCAGTCACCCTGGTATCACTTCTGTGCAGCCGGGATTCGGGCCCTCCGCCCTCTGCAGTGAGTGAGGCAGAGTTTGAAGAGATCATGAAGCGGAACAGAGCAATTTCCAGCAGCGCCATTTCCAAGGCCGTCGCTGGAGCCAGTGCAGGTAGGAACGCTTCCCACTGTGGCCTTCTCCCTGCCCTCCGTTTCACACAGTGCCAGGCCTTATTATTCCATCGGCAAGAAATTCCGCCAGATCCAGGGGGAGCACTGTTAGGTTCTCCAGAGTGCTCCGTTAGCCCAGCCGAATGGCTGAGTGGGTGAGCGCCAACCCAGGAACCATGTAGTATTGAGTGGGCATAACCAGAAGCCGTGGTGACTCTTGAAAATCTTTGGTTTCTAAGAGAAGATTGGGGGGCGGGAGGGAAGACACACACACACACACACACACACACACACACACACAATGGTAAGATATGTACACATATAATAATTTAATTTAAAAAAATAAAATAATTTTAAAAAAATGATACAGGAAGTTTCAAGGTTCTGGTCCCAAGTTTCACTTTATGACATTAGCCATATTCACTTAACTTCCTGTGAGTTTGCCACGTGAATGTAAATGTAGACTGTCCTGTCTCCAAGGTAACCCTAAGTTTTATCATCTATTTCCCATAACTTCTCAGCTTAGGCTGCAAAATTTAAATCCACAGAGTAGGTTAAAGACAGGAAGTGTACATGTTTTTGTTTTTCCCTCCAGACAATCTTCTTTGGCATCTGAATAAACCATTTTATTTTTTTATTATTATTTTAAAAAAAATATATTTTATTGATTTTGTACAGAGAGGAAGGGAGAGAGATAGAGAGCTAAAAACATCGATGAGAGAGAGTCATCGATCAGCTGCCTCTTGCACACCACCTACTGGGGATATGCCCGCAACCAAGGTACATGCCCTTGACCGGAATCGAACCCGGGACCCTTCAGTCCCCAAGCCAACGCTCTATCCATTGAGCCAAACCGGTCTCGGCTGAATAAACCTTTTTAAATTAGAAGTAATCTGCTCAGTGGGACAAGTCATATATACAGAGGACTATGATGAAAATCATTGTTCTCCACCAGTTCCTTCATACCAAAATGATCAAAAACCAAAGCTCTGTCTCCCTCTATTTCTATTGTTCTCATTCCAGTCATTCAAACCACATATATTTACTGGGAGCCTGTAAAATGGGCAGAAGAGCCCTTCCCTGGTGGAACTGACCTGGTGTCCTAGACTCCTCCAGCTTTTATTTTATTCTTCATGCCTGTACGGAGGAGCTGCCAGACCTCATTATCCCGGCCCTTGTCTGGTCTCCTGCTTTCCTGGCATTATCTTCTGTCCTTACTGCTCCTCACGCAGCTCAAAAAAGCTTTGTGGCCCTCGCTGGTTTGACTCAGTGGATAGAGCGTCGGCCTGCAAACTGAAGGGTCCCAGGTTCGATTCCGGTCAAGGGCACATGCCCACGTTGCAGTTGATCCCCAGTAGGGGACGTGCAGGAGGCAGCTGATCAGTGATTCTCTCTCATCATTGATGTTTCTATCTCTCTCTCCCTCTCCCTTCCTCTCTGACATCAATAAAAAAATTACTTAAAAATATATAACTATTAATAAAATAAAGTCTCATTAAAAAAAAAAAAAAAGGCTTTCTGCAAGTACCCACCCTGTGACCACTATTCCTGCCAGGTGTTGCTCAGATTTGGGGAATGAAGGGACTAATTCTTAATGGTAGCATAATTTAAATAAATAAAGAAAAATGTTAAATTTGCATATGTGTATTTATGCATGTGTGTGTGCTATATGCATGTTTTGGATATATATTATATACCCAAAATATATAATATATTTATATTATATATAGCACATATATATGCATGTGTATGTGCTATATGCATGTTTTGGATATATATGTATTTCTACACACGTTTGATTATAAATTTAAGACAGTTTAGTAAAAAGTATGCAGTGTTAATAAAGTCCTCTGCACAGGCCCCCCTACAAGTCTACCTCTTACAGTTTTTTGTCTCTCCAGATTTTTTTTGTGCATATAGCAACATATATGTAATTTTTATTGTTATTACAAAAATTAAATAATATATTCTGCGCATGTTACATCATGTTACTGTGTGCCTGCACAGTGCTAAATGCTTTGTATTGCTTCCTTTGTTTACATACAAGATGACTTCATGCTTTTTAACAACCGCGTGATAGGCTGTGAAACCAGTGATGTGTAATTATGTGGCTAGACCCCGTTGAAGGATTTAAGTTTCTAAATCTTTAACACAGCAAACAACACCGAAACAAACATGATTAAACTTACACTAGTACACAGTGTGAATAGAAGTAGAAAATGTTTAGAATTCCTGGGTCAAAGGTATGTACCTTGTTTATTTCAATGGATGTTGTCAAGCAGCCTCAGACAGTGATGCGCCAGTTTGTACGTCCACTAACAGTGTCTGAAGACATCTGTGATTGCAGCCCGCTGAGATGTAGGTACCTTCTGGTTTTATACCTGCCACCTCTGCTGCTCTCACTGGGGTTCTGTGGGACCACTCGTGACTCTTGGTTTGTGTCGTCCTGAGTTCTCCATTTGGTCAGCGGCTAACTGCCTCTGCTCACCTTGGCCTTTTCCGTCCACCCGTCAGGGGATTACAGCGACGCGATTGAGACGCTGCTCACAGCCATCGCGGTCATCAAACAGTCCCGGGTCGCCAACGATGAGCGCTGCCGTGTGCTCATCTCCTCTCTCAAGGACTGTCTCCACGGCATTGAAGCCAAGTCCTACAGCGTGGGTGCCAGCGGGAGCTCGTCCAGGTGAGCTGATGGCTGCCTCCGCGGCCGGCCAGCCCGGCTCAGCTCTCTTCCAGGGGTGGGCAGGGCGGGAGGGAGCCCAGGGGACCTGGCAAGGACCTGGCTGACAGCAGGCCACGCCCTCCTGTCTCCCGGGGAAGAAATCACCTGACATATACAGTAGTCAGTGTCAGCCGGCTAGGTGAGGAGTGGGTTATTCCGGGGAAAAGGTAGACCGGGATAGCCAAGAACACGGGCTTCGGAGCCACCCATGCTTGGATTTGAACCCCAGGACTGCCCCTACCTACCTGTGTGACCTTGACAATGGAATTAATCAACTTTCCAAGTTTCATTTTTCTCATAAAAGAAAGGTGGGGAGCAATAGTACAAATCTTACAGACTTGTAAAGATCAGGTGAGACAGTGCATGGACAGCTTTTTGCACTGTGCTCGATACATTAGTAAGATCTCAACAAATTTAACTGTTATTTTCAAAAAAAAGGCTCGTCCTCACAGGCGGACACCATCAGACAGTGGGCCCAGGAGGGCCGTGGAAGACAGGGTAGATAAATGCTGGAAGACGCCAGAGGCAGCACTGGGGCGGAATGCGCTAGGCCCTCTGTGCGAGGCTCAAGGATCTTTCTCACAGGAAAAGACATCGGTCCCGGGAGAGGTCACCTAGCCGGTCCCGGGAGAGCAGCAGGAGGCACCGGGACCTGCTTCACAATGAAGATCGGCATGACGATTACTTCCAAGAAAGGAACCGAGAGCACGAGAGACACCGGGACAGAGAACGGGACCGGCACCACTGAGAAAGGTGGGACGAAGCCCTGTGCCAGCTGGTGGGCGGTCTTTTATGAGAGAAGATTACTCACTGAAGGTTTTTCTCTCTGTATGTTTTATTTTTATATTTACTGATTGGAGAGAAAGGCAGGGAGAGAGAGAAACATTGTTTGTTGTTCCACTATGCATTCACTGGTTGATTCTTTTTTTTTTTTTTTTTTTTTTAATTTATTGGCCGAAACCGGTTTGGCTTAATGGATAGAGCATCGGCTTGGGAACTGAAAGGTCCCGGTTCGATTTCAGTCAAGGACATGCACCTTGGTTGTGGGCATATCCCCAGTAGGGGGTGTGCAAGAAGCAGCTGATCGATGACTCTCTCTCATTGATGTTTCTAACTATCTCTCTCCCTTCCTCTCTGTACAAAGTCAATAAAATATATTTAATATATATATACACACACACACACATATATATTTTATTGGCCGAAACTGGTTTGGCTCAGCGGTAGAGCATCGGCCTGCGGACTGAAAGGTCCCAGGTTCGATTCCGGTCAAGGGCATGTACGTTGGTTGTGGGCACATCCCCGGTAGGGGGTATGCAAGAGGCAGCTGGTCAATGTTTATTTCTCATCGATGTTTCTAGCTCTCTATCTCCCTTCCTCTCTGTAAAAAGTCAATAAAAAATATATTTTAAAATATATATATCTATATATATATAGATATATAGATATATTTTATTGATTTTTTACAGAGAGAGAGGGATATATATTTCAGTCTGAAGGCCGACGCTCTACCGCTGAGCCAAACCGGTTTCTTATATGTGCCCTGGCCAGGGCCCTAACCCACAATGTGGCCTGTGGGGATGATGCTCTACTATCCAGCTAGGGCTATTTTTTAGAGCAAATTCAGGAAATGGGCAGACCTTTGATTTAGTAACTGAAAATTCAGGAGGGCAGATTTCCTGCTTGTTAGGAGTCTCACCCTGAGATGGGCCTGAGATTAAGGTATTTTTTGTTTGTTTCTTGGCTGCCTTGCCTGTATCTGACACAGCAGGCCTAAGAGCTCAGAGCACAGTGTCTGCGGGCAGTGCCAGAGTGTGAATCCACTCCTCCAGCCATATGGCTTTCTCTTCCAGTTTCTCACTTTGAATGAAGGTAAGAAAATTGTCTCATTAGATTGCCGAGTGTTCAGTGAGGTAATCCCCACACCTGTTACATAGTAAGCTCTCGAGGAATGACAGCCGTGTTATCAGCATTGCTGTGCATAATTGGGGAAGTTGACCGGTACAGAATACTTATTGTTTACAAGGTGCAACATAAATGATTTTAAAAATTAATGTCTAAAAAGATTTTGAAAATCAAGATACTTTTTTCAAACAGAAGAAAGCTGACCCAGAAGAAAGTTTATAGCTTTGGAGACCGTGGAGGGTGCTTCAGTGGAAGGATATATTTGTTTAGGGAAGGACAGATTGACAGCAAATACTTTTTCTTTTTTTTTAAAGCAAAACAAAAGCAGGAGAGTTGGAGTGGGGGAACCACATGAACTTGGGTCATTGAAAATGGAGTTAGGCTTGGTTGGACCCAGGGCTTCAGCTCTATTTTCATTCCCGAGGTCGGCTGCGAGTTTGACATGCTTGGACCATCCAGCCCATAGACCTCACAGGCCTGCTTAAGCATTTGGTCTGGCCCTGCCACAGCATGGGGGGGGGGGGATTAATTACATGATCACGTGTAGCAGGCTAGTGTTTTAAAATGTATTTTTATTTCAGAGCGGAAAGGAGAGAGGGAGAGGTGGGGAGAGAGAGAGATCAGTGATGAGAGAGAATCCTTGATCAGCTGCCTTCTGCATGCTTCTTTCAGGGTGTGTGTGTGTTTTGGAATTTGAGGATATTCTTCAGTCTGTGGTTTGTACATTTTGTAGTTCTTGGCTCTTTTTTTTTTAATTAAATTATCTGTTTACATATATCATTGCCCCTCCCCATAAATGCCCTCCTTCCCCAAAGTTTTGTGTCCATTGGTTGTACTTATATGCATGTATACAATTCCTTCGGTTGATCTCTTATCTCCTCCAGATCTCCCTACCCTCCCCACTGTAATTTGACAGACTGCTTGTTGCTTTACTGTCTCTATATCTATCTTTTGGTTCATCAGTTTATAATATAATGTGTTTTTTTTTTTTAATATATTTTATTGATATTTCACAGAGAGGAGGAAGGGAGAGAGATAGAGAGCTAGAAACGTCAATGAGAGAGAAACATCTACCAGCTGCCTCTTGCACACGCCCTACCATGGATGTGCCCGCAACCAATGTACATGCCCTTGACCGGAATCGAACTTGGGATCTTTCAGTCCGCAGACCGACGCTCTACCACTGAGCCAAACCGGCTTCGGCAGTTTATAATGTTTCATTGACTGGCTTATTTCACTCAGCATGATGTTCTCCAATTCCATCCAGGTTGCTGCAAATGATGAGAATTCCTCCTTTTTTATGGCAGCATAGTATGCCATTGTGTAGCTGTACCATAATTTTTTGATCCAATCATCTGCTGATGGGCACCTAGGCTGTTTCCAATCCTAGCTATTGTAAATTGTGCTGCTATGAACTTTGAGGTGCATATATCCTTTCTGATTGGTGTTTCTAGTTTCTTGGGATATATTCCTAGGAGTGGGATTACTGGGTAGTTCTTAGCTCTTGCCTTATTATTTTAGAACCTTCTATTTGATGTATAGTCATTCTCATTTCATTGCTATCCTCCTGGTCCAATGAAAACTGAGCTTTCTGTACAATTTTGATCCAGGGCAAATATTCAGAAGCCCAAATGGTGTGACATTGAGAAAGTATTGAGGGCTTCAGTTTTCCCTACAGAAAGGGGACAAAACCTGCCTGCATGGGTGTTGAGAGAAGCCAGAGGGATAGGCCACGCCTGATTCTGAGGCTGAAACTTTGGCTGCAGAGTAGAAGGATTACTCAGCTTGTGGGTGTCTGTTTTCTGTGTAGCTCCTTCAGCATACGGAAGTGTATACATAAAGGGTGTGCATTTGTGTATTAGTGAAATCCTAAGCCTGACTCTAATCCTCCCTTCTTCGTTTAGCTATTGTTTCTATTTTTCTATACTAGAGGCCCAGTACATGGGATTCACGTGCTTGATGGAGAGGGTCGTCCCTCAGCCTGGTCTGTACCTTCTCATAGTCTGGGAGCCCTTGGGGGATGTCCAGCTGATGGCTTAGGCCCACATCCCATGGGCCTAAGCTGGCAGTTGGACATCCTTAGCATTGCTGCAGAAGCCAGAGGCTCTGCCAATGCCATTGCACTCACCAACCATGAGCCCGGCTTTGGCACTTCCTGGTGGTTATTGTGTTCATAGCGACCGGTTGTTCTCCTGTTCGGTCAGTTTGCATATTAGCCTTTTATTAGGATGGTGAGGTTCACCATGCTCCCCTGCAAATTAGCGTTATGCCATGAGAACAGGGCTGAGGGGACGAGGGACCGGCAGTTAGGTGGAGACGTGGCAAATGGCTAAACAGTGTCTTCTTTGCGGCAGAAGCTGCTCTGTGCGCTCACGATTCCGGGTGGCGACTGCTGGTGGTTTCTCCAACCCCTGGGTGCTGTGCTCTCAGCCCCTCCCCCCAGCTGTCATCTGGGAATAAACTTAGACATTTCTTGAGTTTTAGTACAGTTTACAGCACCTCTGGCTGTGGGTGTATGCGTGTGCACACACTCAGAGAATGCTGTTTGAGCCAGGGCTTCTTTAAGAGAAGAAAAAGCTTGAGTTTGAGTTTCCTGTGTAAGTACATGCTCCCTGCCAGGGCCTCACAGATGTGTGGAGGTTAAACACAAGTGTGTTCTCATGCTGTACCTCCCAGTTCCAGATTTCCCTTCCCTTTAGGTAAGCTCTGACTTGCTCAGAGTGATTTCCTGAAACAATTTAAATTCACCATGTTTCCTTGTAGCAACATTGCTTGAGATGTAATTTCCATACTTTCCTAGTCTCTTTTTGAGACTTCATTTCATTGTCTTCCCCCACACACACCTTAAAGGAAGATGTCACTGCTTTTTTCTCTCTCCTCCAACCAGCCCGCACTGTCCACAGTGCCAGACACCAGAAGTCCTTTCTTTCTTCTGCTTTCCCAGGCTTGCGTTTCTCTGTCTGCACCCCCTGCTGCATATGCTGAAACTTTAGGAAATGCCCTGGTAAGTCATTTAAGTCCCGCTACTCTGAAAGTAACTCTGATGTGTGTTCCTTCGGATGTTCTTGTTGCAGGAGTCGGACGGAAGCAAATGTTTTTTAATGGACTTGCATCTCCTCACCTCGATCAGGACTAAAGGACGGAGGCCGCTCCACCCCTTCCCTTCCCTCCATGCCCTCCCCCTCCAGACACCCAGGGATTGCCCTCTGCCCTCCAGGACTGAAGACTGCCGGCCCTCCCAGTCCCACACCCCGCTTGCCGGGGAAAGAACCTACAACCTACAGACCGGTTGGGAGGGGAGGCAGACAGGAAGAAGCAGGTCCAGCCCCGGTCTCCATAGAGAATGGTGCTTTGTTCAAGGAAACGTGAGTTTCTGATTCTCCTGGAGCGGTTCAGTAGTGAGGTTGATGGGAAGACTTCCTTCTCAAAGCAAAGGAATCCTTCGAGTGGGATCTAGGAGAGCGACTGGGGTGCCAGGATATGCCCAGGCTCTTGCCCTCTAGGTTTGATGGGGCCACGAGGGTCCAGACCCCTTGCTATCACCTCTTCGTTCAACTCCTTTCCTTCCAGCCCTTTGAGGCGGGACCATGAGAACAGAATTTGTGGAAAGCTGCTCTTGCTCTTGCTTTTCCTTCTTACGTAGTGACGGTTTGTTTCCCTGGCCTCCTGGCGGCGGAGCCTCCCGCCCCTGCTGCCCGGCCTCCTCCGCGGACGCCTCCCTGCAGAGCAGGCCGCGGGGTGCTGTGTGCTGGGAGCCCGGAGCCAGCTCCCTCCCTGCTTCGGGCGCTGTTGCCTCTCGCAATAACCAGCTCTGCCAGGTGTTCTGTTTCCCGGGGCTCCACCTTTCACAGGGGAGCCCTCCCCCCAGGGCTGCTTCCTTGTTTTAGAGGAGGTATTGCCGTTGGGAGGTGGGGACGCGGCCTCAGCAGCGAAGAGCCTGGTGCAGTGCCAGGATGGAGGCGGCACCGCGGGCAGCGCATGGCGGGCAGGCACGGCCTGCTCCCGGAGGCCCTTCTTTTTTGCGCGGGTTTGATATAAGCATCGGCTCGCATCCCCCAGGTACCAGTTCCACTCCTCGTGGGGTAACCTGACACTAGCAGCCAGGGAAAGTCACAGGTGGGGTGTCTCCACCTTTGACCATTGACTTCCTGTCTCCCTGGGCTCTGCCTGGAGGTACTTCCTGCCTCTGAGGAGGAGCAAGGACAAGCGGAGTCTGACCTGAATGAACTCCGTGTTCTAAGGACCACCGCTCGGGGCCATTTCCCACACGGGCATGGAATTGCTTTCCTGTAACATCTGATTGTGAAGTTCTTGTTGCTGAGGGAGGAAGCAGCAGGGTCTGCAGTGCCCGGGGGCGATGGGCAATGGGCACTATTTGCGCATCTAGAGGGCCCGTGGCAGCTAACGAGAAGAGACATGACGTGAGACGTGGCGTGTGAGGTTAGGGTCATTGGAGACCCTTGTGGCTCAGGGAGAGACTGAGTTGGACTGAACCCTCTCTTCCCTGCACGTTTCTGACCCGGCCCTCCCGGCCCCCCAGGGCGGCCCCGGGGGCTGGAGAGGCACATGCCCTTGGGACAGGTGACAGGTTTGTAGCCCTTTTCCCCTGTCCCAGGTCCCAGCCCCACCTCCGGCTCAGGATGTGGCCCCCTGCCTGCAGGCGAGTGCTGGTACTGGGTGCACCCTCGGGAGCGGTCCTGGTGTCCTGTGTCAGCGTAGAGAACAGTGAGTGGCAGGGAGGAAAGGAACGGAGCGCAGGACAGCCTCTACCCGGGAGCTCCTCCCCGTTTTTGTTTTGTTTCTATTCGGTGACTCCATTTTTAGTTTTGTTTCCTGATAGCAAAAGGAAAACACCCAGTCCTCAAAGGCCAAGGCCCCGTCCCCCTGTTGTCGGTGATTTGTTTGTCTTTCTGATAGGTTGAAAATTGTGTAATAAACTTGATGACGCTGTCAATCTTTTATACTGCATTGTATTTTTTTCCTTTTGTAACAAAGTATTTTTAAATAATAAATGGGGTGTGAGCTATTTCATGGATTCTGCATTGAATAGATTTGTTGAGGTGTCGGGCCTGGGCGTGGGTGGATGCAGAGGCTGTGGATGGTAGTGAAGCCCAGGTCGCTGGACTGGCGTGCAGGGTGTGTAGCTGCCTGGGGTGCAGGCAGGAGCCTCTGTGCCGGCTGTTTTCCTTCGCCACCTCAGCAGTCTGGTTAAATCTTAAGGCCGTCCTGTACCAAGACTCCAAAGATTTACTCCCAGAATACATGTCCTCCCTGAACTGGTGTCCTCATGGCAAGGTCAGGAAGGGAAGAGGCCCCAGGAGTGAGAAGTCTGATGGCTAGCGCCTCCTTCCACCCACTGGCCTGCCCATGGGCTGTGGAGATGAAAGCCAGAGCTGTCCTCATCCACACGGGGCGCTTTAAGAACCAGAGATAAGTGTGAGTGGACATGAGCGAGAGCTGAACTGGGAAATACATGTGAGGAAGCAGAGTGATCTTAACGTTCCAGAAAACTGGCTTTTGAGAAAGTCAGGTGAACAGGGAGCGTTGTGTGACCAAGATGAACCAGAAACCAGCTGATGGATAATATGCACTGGGACCAGTAAAGGCAAATCTGTAAAAATAACTTTTTAAGAGATGTTTTTAAAAATACATATTTATTGATTTTAGAGAGGAAGGGAGAGAGAGGAATATCAATGATGAGAATCATCCATCGGCTGCCTTCTGTATGCCCCACACTGGATCGAGCCGAAACCCAAGCATGTGCCCCTGACCAGAAATTACACCGTGGCCTGGTTCATTGGTTGACGCTCAACCACTGAGCCACTGCAGCTGGGCAGAACAAGTAATCTTGCAGCAGAAGGGAACTTTGCTAGCGGGCCTGAAACCTGGCAAGAGAATAGTTGGGGTGCCTCAGTTCCAACCTGCACCTGCTTGCAGTGCTTGCTAATGCCTGCTGCTGTACTGCGCCAGTCCGCACCGGCTAGAAGCCCACTCCTTAGGCCCATGTGGTGCCTGCTGGTGGAGAAGGGAGCATCTTCAGTCCTCTGGGAAGTGCTGTGCTGGCACAGAGGGCCTGGTCTTGCCCTGGCTGGCTAGCTGAGTCAGGGAGAGCCTCGTCCTGTCTGCCAAAAAGGCTGTGGTCCACTTCCCAGCCAGGACACACACTAACACGAGGAAACTGATGTCTATCACCTCAATGTTTCTCCCCCCCCACCCCCAATCTCTCAAATCAATAAAATATTTTCTGGTGAGGATTTTTTTTTAATAGAACTGAACCCTAGCTGGTTTGGCTCTGATAGTGTTGGCCTGTGGGTCCCGGGTTCGATTTTGGTCAAGGGCATATACCTTGGTTGCAGACTTCTCTCCAGCCCAGGCTCTGGTCTGGGCGTGTGCAGGAGGCAACCAATCAATATGTTTCTCTCATCTATGTTTCTATCTCTCTTCCACTCTCTAAAAATCAATGGAAAAATATTCTCAGGTGAGGATTAAAAAAGGGGGACTAACCATTGGATACCTCTGGGTTCAAATCCCAACTCTTACTATTTAACCTCACTACCTTGGGACACGTGGTAACACCTGATGTGATTTCCTTCGGCCTCGGGGTCACTGTGTGGACTCAACAACCTGCCAGGCTCTGGACGGACATCAGTTCCCACCAGTGGCTGCCATGAAGCCGGAAACCTGAAGCTGTGTCCTCGGTGCTTCCTGAATACGGCGGCACCTCCGCCCCCAGACAGGGCCACGCAGTCATCACCTGACAGTGCAGACATACGTGTGAATATCCCAACTGGCCTCCGCAGCTCCTCTGTGCTCGCCTGTCTCCGAATGCCGGAGCCACGGTACCCAGCAGGGGCCCTGATCAGTTCCCCCGGAGGCCAGCTTCGCGGGCCCTCAGTGCCCGGCTGCTGCCTGAAGCTCTGCTCTGGTGTGTCCACACGGTGACTCCAACAGCACGAGGAAGAAGCATTTGTGGGCCATCCTCGGGAGCCACGGCGCTAAGCGTCCAGGCAACCACGAGGTGAGGGAGGGAGGGGCCTTCTTGTTTCGATCGTGTCATTTCAGCCAGTCGTGCTCACCCTCAAGTGGTACCTGTGAGTGATGAGGCACTTAATTCACCTGAATCTCCTGGCAGGTTTCTAGCTGTCAGTAACCAGTTGTACGATGCTCGGCTGTGTTGCTTCCTCATCTGTGCCTGCCAACTGGCAGATTAGGTTGAAAATTGATCTCTAAAGCCCTTTTGGATTATAAACTGCCTCTCCACTCCCCACTGAGCCTTCCATTCATTTGTCTGTGCTGCTTGGGGGGTGGCCTTACCACGGAGCCTCTAAGGGAACAGGCCGCTCCCAGTTTAAAGCCAGCGATTTTCTTCAAAGCAGGGCTGGAGGAAGCAGTGTGAGAAGCAACAGAAACCGGGATGTCAGTGGTGTTTGTCACTGAAATACCAGCAGTGTCCTTCCTGGATGTTTTGATACTGTTTTGGGGTTGATCAGACCTGCCCCCTGTGGTTTCTGGACAGACCCCAGAGCAGTGAGGAGGCCAGGGCACAGAAGGGGTAGAAAACAAGCAGCTTCCGTGGGCTGGACGGTGGGGACCTGCACAGAAGCACAGAGGGAACCACCATGGGATGCAGGCCTGTTACTGGACTCGGAAGAAGTGCAGCTCTTCTGGGACTCCTCTCAAAGGGGCCCTTGACCCAAAGCAGTGGGTTCTGCCATGGCTCCTGGCAGCCTCTTGGGGCTAAAAGACAAAATGGCGCTGCCAAGTTTTAACGACGATTAAAGTATGCGTTCCTTTCATTTTAATTTGAAACTTTAAAGTAAGTGATCCAACAATACTGGTTAGACTGTGCTTCTTGCAATTACTCCTGCCTCCCTGCAGAGGAGCTGCGGCCTGTGCGAGGGTGAGAGGCAGGCCCTGGCTCTGGGTGGGGGTGGGGGTGGGGGAGGGAGGAGGGAGCCATGGACTGTGGCTTTGCAGGGTGACATCCTGAAGGAGACAGAACCTGCAGTGCCTTTGGGTCCGTGGCTCAGGCTGAGCAGCCGCTGGGAGGGCCTGCCTTCTTCCAGAGTGTGTGAACTAGGTCCCACAAGGAAAAGGCCGCACAACAGAAAATACATGTTTATTATAAAATAATGTTTGCTTCATGATGAAAATAGAAAAATAACACTATGAGCTACTCAAAAAGGCCTGGCGCTCAGCCTCCGCAGGATGGAGGCTGTGTCCCTTGGAGCTCCGTGCTGGTGCAGGGCAGGCAGGCACGGCACACGGGGCAGAGTGGCTCAGGTCCTGTGGGCGCCACGGAGCCTACTTGGTCCACACAAAGCTCTGTCCACGGCGGTCAGAGCGGAGAGCTTGAGTCCAGGAGCCGGTTCTGAGCACGGCCAGAGGGGCCAGCCTGTCCCGCCCTGTGCTGGAGTGGAAGAGTCTCTTAGGCTGAGGGTCCCGGTTAGATGCTGCCCAGTGGCCTTATGCTCGGTTTGTTGCCCAAACATCTGTGCTGAGGAAAAGCTGCAACTCCCTCGGACCACGTGACCCTCCATCTCGCTGGTGTGGCTCCAGTACAGAGCGTGAGCATCTCAGCTGCTGAGGGCTGTGGGCTGCAGTTTTTGGACTTCAAATCCTGTCCATACTGATGACAGAAAGACACACAGATGTTAGAGGACCAGTGAACAAGAGCAGCTGGCCTGAACTGTTCCAGCTTCCAAGCCTCCTGGCCCCGAAGAACAAGGAATCATCTAGTCTCTCTCCCTAAGGGGGTAAGGCCTACCCTAAATGGGAAGGGCGGTCCCACAGATCCCCTTCACCCCCTTAAGAGCCTACTAGACCCCTCCAGCTGCAGGAAAAGGGAACCCTCCCCCCTCAGGGGCACTCCCTTGGCGCAGACCTGGAGAAGGCGGCCAGCGTGAGCGCCTCCAGCAGCAGCTCGGAGCCGCAGAAGAGGAGCAGGATGCCGTTCATGATGGCTTCCAGGCGGAGCACGTAGGTCTGCAGCAGCAGGTAGTACGTGGCCATCACGGCGGAGGGGAAGGTCAGGGCCACACTGATGGCCAGGGGCATCTTCCGCTGGCACAGGTTTCCCTTGGTGCCTGTCAGACAAGCCCTGGGTCACCTCCAAGCGGCCATGCCCCTCCCTCGCGCAGAGCAAAGGTGGTGGGCGCGGGGACTGGCAAGGCAGGGCGCGATGCGAGGGGGCGCAGCTTTATAAACCGGGTAAAGGCAAGGGCGTGGAGGAGTCTGGGATTGGAATCATTCACCCCAAAGGGCCTGCTTCCAGTTTGGCTCCCATTCATGGGGCGCTGGGTCTTTATTGGGGGGAAATTTATTTTAATTATAAAGATATAATCATTGAAAACTTTCCAACTAATATACAGGAAATAATTTTGGAAAATATAGAGGAGCATGCTCACTCCCTGGAAGGAGCTGTTAGATTACACTGTTCCGGACTTCCGTTCCATGAGTCTGTGCTCATGCTATTCGGATAAAAACGAGTCATTCTCTGATATGTCTTGCAGCTTACTCTGCCCCATTAATACAACTTAGACATCTCTCCACACACACTACCTTACTCTTTTTTAATGGTTCTGAATGGTCTCTTTGGACTGATTCTGTAACTCATTGAGCTGATCCTGCGTTGACAGATGTTCAGGTTGTCTCTAGCTTTGAGGTCACACACTATGTGGAAGCCACACACTATGTGGCCACAAACATTCTGACAAGTCTGTACATCTGGGAAGTATGTGTTTTCGGCCAGTTTTAGAGGTGGAACTGTTAGGTCTAAGGATATAATTTAAAATAAAATATTTAAAAAATATATATATATATTTAGTATTTTACTGATTTTTTTACAGAGAGGAAGGGAGTGGGATAGAGAGTTAGAAACATCGATGAGAGAGAAACATCGATCAGCTGCCTCCTGCACACCTCCTACTGGGGATGTGGCCACAACCAAGGTACATGCCCTTGACTGGAATCGAACCTGGGACCCTTGAGTCCACAGGCCAATGCGCTAGCCACTGAGCCACACCGGTTAGGTCTACGAATATAAATTTGACAAGGTAAAACTATCAGCGAGAAGGACATACTAATTTATGTTCCCAGAGTTTGAGGCTAGAGGTGCTCATGTGTGTGGGGCGCTGGGTCCCGTCCGCATGCCTGTTCTCACGCCGGGTGCTGGGAGCCTTTCTCAGCTGCTGGTGAAAATGTTCTCGTTTCCACTTACATTGACTAGTGAGTGAGGCGTTTGTCCTGCTTACTGGCTCCTGTCATTTCCCTGTGAACTTCCCATTAATTTCCTTTCCCACTGTCCACAATTCAGTTGCCTTGGCCTGGTGGGTGTGGCTCAGCTGGTCAGCACCGTCCCACACACCGAAAGCTGGCAGGTTCGGTTCTGGTCGGGGCGCATGCTGGAGGCAGCCAAACTCTCTCTCTCTCCCTTCCTCTCTCTAAACCATTTAAAAAACCAGGTTGTGCTCCCTGGCAATGGGCAAGGAGACACCCGCCTAGTGGTGGGGTTGCTCTTTATCAGTCAGGGGCGAAGCAGATGTTCAGTCCTTAGTTCATCCTAGCTTGATGCCTGTGTTGGTGGCCAGAGCTGTTTCATGTCTGAGGCACATAAAAAATAAATAAAAACCCAGGTTGTGTTTCCTTCACGATTTATGTGAGCCTGCACCTTTATTCTTTGTTCTATGTATTGCAGGCATTTTTTGTTTTTTTCTGTTTTGAATTATAACACTTTTCAGAGATGAGACATTCTAACTCATAAGAGACATGCTCTGCATTTGTGGGGATATGAAGCTTGTCCCAGGGAAAGTCTTGTTCGGAGAAGCGGAGGGGAACTTGGTGCCAATCTGGACAGGCACATTCTGTTCTGGACACGGCGTGACAGCCCAATCCATTCTCTCAGCACCGGTAAGGGGAACAGGCACTTTGAGGGTAGTCAGGCACCTGGGAAGGAATTCTCCAGTATCTCCTGCGACTGCCCACATCTAGCCCTACAGAGCAACAGACAGGTAAGTCTTGACCCAAAACATAAAGCAGTTTGAAACTTCAGAAAGGGAGGAATGCGATATGGCGCCAGATCCAATCTCTTTCCGGGAGCCCAGTTTATGTGCTTTCCTTGTTAGTCAAGTTACAGACACCAGCTCATTGGCTAAGGCCATGGTTGACAGACTGCGGCTGGCGAGCCACATGCGGCTCTTTGGCCCCTTGAGTGTGGCTCTTCCACAAAATACCACGGCCTGGGCAAGTCTATGTTGCAGAAGTGGCATTAGAAGAAGTTTGTTTAAAAATGTGGCTCTCCAAAGAAATTTCAATCGTTGCACTGTTGAGATTTGGCTCTGCTGACTAATGAGTTTGCCGGCCACTGGCCTAAGGAATAGGAGCGTCCTCGGGACGGCACTCACCAAAAAACAGCCGAATCACTTCAATCCCGAGGTAGAGGAAGAGCATCGCCACGTCCAGCACCAGATTGGCGGTGGGATACGGCAGCAGGAGACCTGCCAACACAAAGGCCGGCGTTTGCCAACAGCATGCAGCTCCCAGAGCTCCCGCACACGTGGGGTAAAGAGGACAAGAGTCCTATCAGCTCCCCACGAGCTGGGCAGGGAGATGTTAACCTAATGCAGGGTCGGCTCACAGTGCAACGAGTCTGTTAGGGGCAGGCTTCTCATGGTGGAGTTTTTGTTGTTTTTTTTAAGTATGTTTTTATTGATTTCAGAGAGGAAGAGATAGAAACATCAATGATGAGAGAATCATGGAGGCTGCCTCCTCCACACTCCCTTACTAGGGATCAAGCCTGCAACCCGGACCTGTGCCCTTGACCGGAATCAAGCCCAGGACCCTACAGTCTGCAGGCCGAAGCTCTATCCACTGAGCAACACCGGCCAGGGCTTATGACAGAGTTTTACTCCCAACTCCAAAAGCCTGTGGGACGCCACTCTCCAACATGATCAGATGGACACGGAACGCCGGCTGCTGAGTCGTTCTGAGTCACCCAGGGGCTTGAACGGAAAGTGGACTTCACAGAGAAAGATGGGCTCACATGGAGGAGCCCACATCCCCCAAATAAAAAAATCACATTTTCAAAATATTTTATTTATTGATTGAGAGATATCAGTTTGTTGTTCCACTTATTTATGCATTCATTGGTTGATACTTTTATGTATCCTTTACCGGGACGGAACTGGCAACCTTGGGCTATGGGGACGATGCTCTAACCCACTGACATACCTGGCCAGGGCCCCCAAAACAAGAAATTCTTGCTGAGGGGCTCCCTAGGAATGGCTCTCAAGGAAGCCATTCCCTACCTTGCTGGAAAGAGGGGGCCGAAAAGTGGCTGAAGTGGGGAAGGCAGCCCATGCCTTACCTTTATACAAAAATATGAAGAGTTCCAGCAGGAAGTAGGTTGCATAATACCAGCCGTTCAGGAAGAAGAGGATTTCCAGGGGCGTGGAGGACAACCGCTTACCTGCCAAGAGGGGCCAGAGGAGAGGGTGAGGGGAGGGCGCTCGCCCCCTCTGAACGGTGTGTCTCCAACTTGGAGAAAGCACGAGATCGCAGCCAGCGGGAGGGCCGCTGGGGCCCTCTGGTTGCGAATAATGAGGGTGGGGTGTGAGCACAGGACGTGGAGGGGGCTTCCTTCAACCCCCTTCTGTCCTCGGAACCAGCCAGACCCCACTCGCGGCTTCGGGGTGGCAATCCCGTCCCCTGAGATCTCCCCCGTCACCATCTGAGGGGAAACGGGCTGCTTCGAGGTCGCTCAGAGGCATGTCCATCACGGAGCCGGCCCAGAGCAGGCCCAGCCAAGGACGGGGCTCTGAGAGACCCTCACCCCAGGCCTTCCGCACTCGGGACGGGAGGGGCGGCGGGACCCGCTGTGGACAGGGAGAAGTCCCTCTCCGAGAATGGAGGCTGAGGTCGCGCTCTGGGAGGCTGAGGGGAGCAGGAAGCCACTCACACACCTCCGGAACCTCACCTCGCGCCGCCATCCTCGGTCCCCATGGAAACTGCGTACGCGGCCGCCGCCGCTCCGGAGCAGTGAGGCGCTGCCGGAAGTGGGGACTGAGCGGCCCCAACTTCCGGCCCCTCTGCCCGCCCGCGCACTCTATGGTTAGCGGCCCGGAGGTCTCTGAGCTGTTGAAGTGAGTGCGGGGCGGGGCGCGGGCCGCAGGCGGCCTTCAGGGGGACTTGGGCTCCCCACCCCGTTACAAGGCACTGGCTGAAGTGTCAGTTGTGCCAGGCGGTGTGGTTCAGGGGTGGAGCGTCCGCCTGTGAACCAGGAGGTCACGGTTCCATTCCCCGTCAGGGCACAGGCCCCGGTTGCAGGCTCCAGCCCCAGTCGGGGGCGTGCAGGAGGCAGCGGGTCCATGATTCTCTCTCATCACTGATGTTTCTATCTCTCCTTCTCCCTTCCTCTCTGAAATCTATAAAAATACGTTTAAAAATTGGATATTTGAAGTGATCCTTTGTGGTCATGTGACCACAGGATGGGCCCCACGATTCCCTTTCTAACATCCGTCTGGAAATGAGGAGCGGTGTGCCTGCGGGTGCTCTGCAAGGGGCCGGGGTTAGGGGTCGTTTGTCCAGCGGGCAGCCTTCTTTTTTGGGGGGAGGAGTCTGGAGGAATGTACCAGATAATTAGAAGGCACCGAACTGAATCCGAACCGGAGGCTCCTTTCAAAGAGCACAAAGCAGAGCCCGTGAAGGTGACCGTGATCAGCACGTGACCCGCACGGAGCTGGCTGGGGCCACGGAGAGGACCGAGCCTCGAGGTTTCCCGGAGGCGGCCTGCGCACGGGGTTTGACGCCTCGGGGCGGTGAGCTGTCCAGGTGTGTCCCTGCCCGCGGGGAGGAGAAGGATCAGGGTGTTGAGGGGCCTAGAGCTGCCTTGGCCGTCAGCCCGCGGTCGTCGGGGCAGGGAAGGAAGCAGATGGCGTGGGCAAACAGGGTCAGGTGAGTCGGAGACTAACTGTAGGGACAGAGCCGGGACCAGCAGGCTGGGGGGAAGAGGGGAGGGGCCTTGTTACTTCCCCTGAAGGGACGGGCAGAGCCACTCCCTGCCCCCGGAGAGCAGTTTATGTGTTTCCCATTCGGGGAGGTGAGAATCTTGAAAGCAAGAATGTTAACACTTTGAGGGGAGCTCAGAGGTGTGGGGGCCCGGCACACGGACGCTGAGAGGCGAAACCACGGGCTCTTACCTCTGTTTTGCCTCTTGGCTGCACATGGACCTTCAGTTCCCGGGCTGCGGTGTGGCCTGAACCCGGCACTTCTCCCCTGCCCTCGAGGGCCCTGGAGACGTGGGGCGGGAAGGGCTTGGCTCCCGCCCCAAGATTTCCTGGCCTTGCAAGTACCTGGCATTCGGCCACCAGGGGGCGCTCTGCTCCAGCTGCTCCTGGAGCGGGCTCTCCCAACCATTGAGGCCGCGGATCCTCCTGGCCGGGATGCCAGGCCCTGCACGGACTTTTTGTGCACCTGCCCCTCAGCCTTGTTTCCCAAAGCTGCCTGGGCTCTGTGTACCCAGCACAGTGCCCAGCTCCCTCCTCCAGCTCATCCGCTTCGGCTCTTCTCCCCAGAGGGTGGATTCCCACCACCCGCCACGCCCTGTGGCATCACACCCTCCAGTCCTGCACACGGAGCTCTGCTGTTGGCGCACCTGCCCACCGGCCTTGGCTCACCTGTGCCAGGGGGGTTGCTTACAGGCTTCCGGTTGAAGGTTAATTTGTTGTTAATTTTATCACCTGTTTGTGGTGTGTGTTTTTTTTTTCTCTTGCCACTTTCAAGATTTGCTCTTCATCTTTAGCTTTCAATAATTTGACTGTGATGTGTGTAGGTGTGGCCCTGTTTGTTTTTTATTTTATTTTTTATGTATATTTTATTGATTTGAGAGAGAAAGGGAGAGGGAGAGATAGGAACATCAATGATGAGAGAGAATCATTAATCAGCTGCCTCCTGCACGCCCCCTACTGGGGATCGAGTCGGCAACCCTGCATGTGCTCTTGACCGGAATCGAACCTTGGACCCTTTATTCCACAGTCTGAGGCTCTATCCACTGAGACTAACTGGCTAGGGCAATGTGGCTCTTTAAAAACACACACACACACACACACACACACACACACACAACTAAATATATATATAGTTTGAGTAAGAGAGAAGAAACATCAATTTGTTGTTTCACTTATTTATGCATTTCTATATGTGACCAGAGGTCAAACCCATAACCTTGGCGCATTGGAACAAAGCTCTAACCAACTGACCTACCTGGCCAGGGCTGCCTTCTCCCCCTTTTTTTTTTTTTTTTTCCTAATCAAGGTCTGTTTGTGGAATATCTTTAAAACATCTTTTTCTGCCCGGCCAATGTGGCTCAGTGATTGAGCGTGGATCTATGACTCAGGAAGTCACGGTTCAATTTCCGGTCAGGGCTCATGCCTGGGTTTTGGGTTCAATGCCCAGTAGAAGGTGTGCAGATGGCAGCCAATGATTCCCATCATTGATGTTTCTCTCCCTCCTTAACCCTTCCTTTCTCGGAAAACAACTAAAATGATAATTTAGTCCTCTCTGGACTTGCTAGTGGTTTTTCTCATATGCAGACTCCGTGTATAGAAAAGTAAAGTGCCTCTGGATGTTTTCTTCCATTCTCCCTGAGCTTTCCCCTGAACGCCTGTGCTCCCGGTCCCCGCCCTCCACCCTGGGTTCCGATCACCACGGCGATAAGCCGGTCAGCAATTCTGTCCTGCTTTCCAGAGGTTTGAGGCTGAGCTTTTTATAGCCTCTGTCCCTCACAGCTCTGGAATTCGGTAAACATCTGAGAAGCCGTGTTACACACTTCCCCTGCGTCCCCGCCCTGTCCTTCCAGCAGGGCGAGACCAGGAAGCTCCGCTGTCTTCCCCGTTCCCTCTGCAGTCCTGAGGCCTTTTTAAAAGACGGTATTTACATTTCACCTACTTCCCGATTATCGTGTGATCAGCTGTGAGCAACTCCGTCCCCCCTACCACAAGTCTCTAAGCACCTTTAAAGTGTTTACTTTCTTTCTCTGAGCTTTGGAAGCTGACTGTTCCTAAGGAATCAATTTACATCCTATCTTAAAAACCTATTGCTACTGGTAAGTGAAAAAAACACAGACCCCAAACTAAGTGATGCCGTGTTCCCGTAATCACACCGTGCGTAAAATAAAATTCGTACACATACAGCTGTCCCTCGGAAGCCGCTGAGGCTTGGTTCCAAGACCCCTCCCCCACAGCTATTACCAGTTCCAAGGATGCTCAGGTCCCTTCTATAAAATGGCATGGTATTTACCCATACTTACATATGCCTGTGTACTTCATATCATTTCTAGATAACTTGTAATACCTAATCTATGCAAATGCTATGTGAATAGTTGTTATCCTGTGTTGTTTAGGGAATAATAAGTCTGTACCTGTTCAATGCACATAATCACAAGAGGCCTAAGGACATAATACCTGTCAGCTGATAACTGTCAGCAACCATGTATCTTGTCCCCGCCCCCTGAATATTTTTCACCTGCAGTCGATTGAAACTGTGGGTGCGGAACCATGAAATAGAGGACCGATTGTATTTGAGGATTTGAAATAAATGAGTGGAGTAGGATTATGGCAACTTATTTTGTAAGAAGGTTTCTAAAATAGTACATGTTCTATAAGGACATACATCAGCGCAGGTTGGCAGGGCGGGGAGGGGCAGGAGCCCGGGCTGAGCTGCAGCTGCGGGAGATGACGAGCTCAGAACTCCTCAGGCAGACTGTGCTGTGGGTGTAATGGCTGGAGGCTCCGCCGTTCCATCTGGGCGTGAGGCCGGGGGCTCCGCTGGCCTGGGTCCTGGCTCGGCCGCTGCCTGGGCGATGAAGGCAAACATACAGCTCAGACTCCCAGGTCAGGAAGGGAGTGCGTGTTGTGAGGAAGCAGGCATTTGGTCGCACTCATGACTTTGAGACCGAAGAGGACCCAGCCCTGACTTGGAGGCCCAGAAAGCTGCCTTTCGGTATATCAGTGAGCAAAGGATTCTGCAAGATCCTTTGTGAAAAGATCAGGCTAGTAATTATTTTTTGAACCGATGAAGGGATAGTAGGCATAGATGGCGGCTTTGTTAGGACTTTTTAGATCACTTTTTCCAATTATAGGATATGGGTCTTAGATGATGTGTTTGGGCATTGTACTTAAAAAAAAAAAGTGTTTTGAGCTGAAACCGGTTTGGCTTAGTGGAGAGAGTGTCGGTCTGTGGACTGAAAGGTCCCTGGTTCGATTCTGGTCAAGGGCATGTATATTGGTTGCAGGAACATCCCTGGTGGGGGGTGTGCAGGAGGCAGCTGGTTGATGTTTCTCTCTCATCGATGCTTCTAGCTCTTTATCCCTCTCCCTCTCTGTAAAAAAATCAATAAAATATATTTCTAAAAAATAATAATAAAGTGTTTTGATTTTAGAGAGGAAAGGAGAAGAGAAATATGGGTTAGCGGCCTCCTGCACGCCCCCTACTGGGATGGAGCCTGAAACTGGACCAGTGTCTTGACCGGGAATCGAGCTGGTGACCTCTGGGTGCATGGGACAGCATCAACCACTGAGCCACACTGGCCGGGCATGCCTTTTCTTTTCGAATGTTAACATCTTGACAGCACAGCAGATTACCGATGGTCTGCCTCACTTTATTCCAGGCTTCCACACCAGGGGTCAGCTCACTGTGGCCAGTTCCTGAGTTGGGGTTGGCTTGCTTTGCATCCCCAATCTAAGAATAGAATGACCTTTGTACATCACTTAAAAAAAGTTATGCCACATGAAAACATGAACTTCAAACCTGAGTGTCCTAAAGCGGCGTTACTGGGGCACAGCCCGTGCTCACCCTTCACGGAGCAGCGACGGCTGCTCTCATGCCAGAACTCGGAGAAGCTACAACAGGCCAGGGGCCTCAAAACCCAACTGTCCCTGCCTGGTCCTTCACAGAGCGGCTTCCTGGAGGGTGGGCTGAGCGCACGGCCCTCCTGGCAGCCAAGCCTGTGCCAGGAAACTTGTGCCTGGCTTTCCCACTGACTGGGCAGTCACATGACTTGCTTTGACCAAAGGGAGTCCAAGAGCCAGAACACAAGCAGAGGCTGGATCTGGATTTTTTCCCTGGGGCTTGTTCTCCGGTTCCTCGGCTACTGTCACGTGAACAGACCTCGGCGGGTCATGGGTGGGTCATGTGAACCTGAGCTGCACAGCCCAGTCATTCCAGCGGAGGCCAGCCTGGGTTAGCCAAGAGCCACGGGTCCCAGGACCATCCATCAGGCTGCCAAGCTGATCCACAGCTGACCAGACTCGTGAACAAGTCCCACAGAAATCTCCCAGACCCAGCCCGGTGGCCGGAACCCAGCTGGAGAGCGCTGTGACAGGGGGTGGTCATGTGCCGCTGAATCTGGCGGCTCCTCGCACAGGGTTCTGGCACAGACAACTGGGGCTCCGGGCACATGAGTTTTAAAAACGTCTTTTGCCAACACAGGCTAAGGAACAGTTCTCTGCCGAGGGCAGTGGGAGGACCTGAACGGGGACAGGGTCTGAATAAAGCACAGAAGTCTGAACTCCAGGGGTGGGGCTGGGTGGGGCATCAGGCTACATTTTGAATTTCTGTAAAAATACCTTGAATGGGTAATGGGACTCGATAAATGGTATTGTCTGTGCACACTCTGTGGCCCGATCTGCCCACAGGATGAGGCCGGGACTTGGCATGCCTCCTACCAGGCAGGGAAGCGATCTAGCCCGAAGGATGCAACTGTGGAAAGACTTCAATTTATTTCCTATTTATAGAACGTAAGAGCAGAAAGGGCCGTGGGCACCGGATCTCATGCCCGAGGCGTGCCCAGTCAGCAGCACAGAACATCCCTCTGGGTATCGCTTGGTCCTGTGTGTGGAGCGGAGAGCACCGGTGTTCCCCCCGGATCCAGCGAGAGCCTGGGAGCGGAGGAGGAGCGGGGCGGAGCCGAGGGCCAGGGAACGAGGCACGTCCTGGGGTCTGTGCCGGGAACTGGAATCTGCGAGAGGAGGATCTTGCTTCCCGGCTGCTGGACACAACTGGCCCGAACCTGTCGGCTGCGTCCCGGGACCCAGGCCGACGTCCCCCTCACAGAGCACACATGGCCGCAGGCCGGAGGCACCATCAGTGACAGGTCACCTTCGGACCTGCGTGAACTCCTTGCGCAGCCAAGCCGAGTCCTGGTGGAAGCGGGGGTCGCCCAGCCGCACGGCTGTGCGCTTGTAGAAGTAACAGTAGAACACTGCCGCTGCGGGGGCAGAAGGGGGCGCTCCTGAGGAGGTGCTGCGGGAGCAGGAGCCCCTGGAGGCCGGGCCTGCCTCCCAACCGCCCAGGGATCCCCGCTGCAGCGGCAGCAGCGCCCGTGCTGGTGTGGGGCTGACAGGCCGGGGTCCGGCCCTCGCCCAGAGCCGCAGCGGGACCCCGGAGCCTGAGGGTGCTCCGCCCTTACCCAGCCTCTGGAACACAAACAGGGCCTGCAGTCCTTCTGTCCAGACAAAGCGGTTCGAGTCTTTCCAGCGTAAGTTCTGGAGGAGACAGGGAGACGGGAAGGTTAATGGCAGGTGACGCTCCACGGGGAAGCTGCAGGCCAGTCTCTCCCTCCTCCTTCCCACGGCCGCTGTTTCTCAGAGTGCCTCCAGGCCTTAGCTGGAGAGCAAACCTTTAACCCGGTGGGAGGATGTGACCCCAGCTGGTTACTACCTTCACCCCGTGGCCCTGGCCAAGAAGGGACACTCGAGCTCAGCGCCTCGGGGTCCCTGCCTTCTTGAGAAGCCCGGGCTCAGTCCTGCCAGCTGAGGGCGCGGGCAGCCCTTCACAGGACGCGGCCGGGCCTGTTTAGGCTCCAGGACCAGAGCAGGGATCATCTTCTTCAGAAGCACCTGCGCCCTGGGCACGGCCGGCTCCTTCCCGCCGAGAAGGTGGCCGCAGTACGGAGGTGACAGACGCCCCTCAGGACGCGGCCTGAGAAACGCTGAGACACCGAGGGAGGAAGACCGTGACGGGGAAGGAACCTGAGGCCGTGAGCACCAGGTCTGCTCTGTGCCACCTCAGCACCGGGGGCCTCTGGCGGCTCTCCGGGGTGATGGTGGCTGCAGGGGCCGAGGCACAGAGGGCAGGCAGCGCTCTTTCCCATGAGACACTGAGGCCTATAAACACCCTGGACTAGTACCGGCCCAAACAGATGAAAGAGATTCAACTTCCCGCTTTAGCCCCAGTAGACCGGTAGACCCAGTAGAATGTTCCAAAAGCTGGTCGGGCTAAAGCGCCCTAGGAGACTCGCATACTTTGCCCGGCCACACTCTCTCCACCTCCCCGAGCAGGGTCTGTGCGATATGCGAGCAGCTACTCCGGGCCCGCGAAGACCCGAGGCCCCCAGCGCCGCTCACCATGAGCCAGACGTGCAGGGCGATGCTGAGGGCGAAGTACACGGCGGTCAGCACGATGGTCCCTTTGAACTTGTGGAACAGCAGGCTGACCAGGCCGGCCTGGAAGACGAACGTGTTGAAGAACATGAGGAAGATGACGATGATGTTGAAGAGGATCGCGATGTCCTGGATGCTGCAGGCATCAAACACAACAAAGCACAGCGCAGGGCGGCTGAGGAGCGGGAGCGGGCGCCAGTCCCGAGGGGCAGTGCGGCTGTCCTTCTCCCTCTGGGATCCAGGCCTCCCGAGGCCCCCCCCCCCCCCCCGAGGGAGCATGCGCTTTGGGCCCCAGATGAGATGGAGCTAAGACCCCCCTGGCCCAGCAGCTGTGCAGCCAGATGAGGCGTCCTGCTCTGCCGCTCCCTCCCTGCAGGACCTCCGGGCGCCGTGGGAGCTGGCTCCGCCTCCGCCCAGAGCACGCCGTGCGGGCACAGCCTGCCCCTCGGACGTTCCCGTCCCCGGACAGCAAAGCGCCTCCTGGCCTCCGCACGGCCGTTGCTTCAGGGCCATCTCAGGGCCATCGGGTCTCAGTTCATGAGGAAGATGCATTTCCTTTAGTGCCGTGATCTAAAGTGCTCTCCCCCCCTCCCAGCTACTGTGTGTCCACGGCGCGACCCTTACTGCTACATGAAATGGACCTTTACAGCACGCGTGTGTATGCCCTCTCCACGGAATGATCTCCACGGGAGCAGGCGTGCCGCCGTCGCCACTGTGTGGAGCACCAATGGCACTTTATCCCGGAGCCGCCTGATGGTGGCCATGTTATGGTGAAGGGAAACGCCAACAGCTCCCATCGTATGAGTTCAAACATTTCATTAAGACAACTGCCCTTTAACTTGCCATTCTGCATTCCTCTTCACGGCAACGTAAGACAGTATTTCTGCTCGCAGATGCAGGAAAGGACAGGTTAGTGGCGGACCCTCATTTCTATGGGAACCGCTCCCTGTGTCCCGGACCCTCGCCAGAGGAAGCAAAAGCAGGACCTGTGGCGTCGCTGTGGTCTCATACTTTCTTCCTCATGGTTTTCTATTAATAACTTTGAGTCATGACTGCCCAGGCCTCGCGCCGCTGTGTTTGCTGTCAGTCCCGCCCACTGAACTCACATGAACAGCACCAGCTGGATGACGGGCGCTGAGCGGAGCAGCTCCGAGAAGGAATTGACGAAGAGGTCATAGGTCAGCAGCAGGAGCTGCAGGGAGAGCACGAGGCTGTAGCCGCTGGCCTGCAGCATCTTCCTCCGCTGTCCAGCCCCGAGGGCACATCCCCCGGTTCCCCAGAAAGCAGCCCTGACCGGCCCGGCGCTGACAGAGAAGATCAGAGCTGTTTCTTTTACTGAAGACAAGAGCCTGTTGGAGGAGAAAAAAAAAAAAAAGCCAGTTAAAAGTTCATTAGTACCATGAGGATTTCCTGAGGACCTGTCACAGGCCAGGCACCATTCTCGGTGCTTGGATACAGCTGTGAGCAAAGCCAACAAGACCCCAATGAGGCCCGCCTTCCGGGCACCCTCACCCTTTCCCCCAGGCTCCATGCTGGTCGCGTTAATGTTTTTTATTTCTTTATATATATTTTATTTATTTTTTACAGAGAGGGAGAGAGAGGGACAGAGTTAGAAACATCGATGAGATAGAATCATCAGTCAGCTGCCTGTTGCACACCCCCTGCTGGGGATGTGCCCGCAACCAAGGTACACCCCTTTGACCAGAATCAAACCGGAGTCCCTTCAGTTTGAAGGCTGATGCTCTATCCACTGAGCCAAACCTGTTTCGGCAAGGTCAAGTTAATAATACCGAGTTAATAATAGCGGCTGCAATCCTTTGCATATGTGCTGGGACCAGTCTAAGCATTCCTGTTGTTTAAATCTCACAAGGTAGAAGATACTCCCCATTTTACAGATGGGACAGCTGAGGTGCAGAGAGATAAAATAATGTGTCCCAGGTCACACTGCCAGTAAGCAGCAGAACTGGGGTTCGGATCCAGGCAGCCTGGGTGCTCTCACCTGCTGCACAAAGCGGTCTGGTCTCTTATTACTGACAGGCCGACATGGAACCAGGCGGGAGGGAACATGTGAGCACGGGAGAAGTGGGAAGTGGTGCGGGCAGAGAAAGCTGGGAGGAAACTGTGCTCTCCTGCAAACTGTGTGTAAGGTTATGGGAGCAACACTGGGCACCAGGGAAGGGAAGCTGGGCCTTTATTTCCACACTAGAGGCCCAGTGCACGGAGTTCATGTCCTCGGGGGTGGGGGGCCCTCAGCCCGGCCTGCGCTCTCTCGCAGTCTGGGAGCCCTTGGGGGATGTCCGACTGCTGTGGAGGTGGGAGAGGCTCAGCCACCACCACTGTGCTCAGCAGCCATGAGCCCAGCTCAGGGCTTCTGGCCGAGTAGTGATCCCCTTAAGAGCGCACTGACCACCAAGGGCAGCTCCAGCATTGAGCATCTGCCCCCTGGTGGTCAGTGCATGTCATAACAACTGGTTGTTCTGCTGTTTGGTTGATTGGCATAATAGCCTTTCATTGTATAGGAGGATATGACAAGACCCAGAAGTTGCTCTGGGGGTGTCCTGTGACCACTCCCCCTGGATTAAGTTTATAAACAAATTTCAAAATGCTTTGAGGTGGCCTGCCCGCAGTGGCTCAGTGGTTGAGCTTCGTCCTATGAACCAGGAGGTCACTGCTTGGTCAAAGGCACAGGCCTGGGTTGCGGGCTCCATTTCCAGCATGGGACGAGCAGGAGGCAGCTGATCCACTATTCTCTGTCATCACTGATGTTCCTCTCTCCCCCTCTGTGAAATGAATAAAAATATATATCTAAAAAATGCTTTGAGGTGTTAAGAGATTGAACTAACATCTGCAAAATGCTTTACCATCTACAACTCTTGAGATTTATTACTTTGTTCGTCCCACACCCGCCTGCGCAGCAGCTGTTGGCGTGTACACCCTCCCCATCTCACAGAGGCTCTGAGCCAGGAGATCCTGGCCCATCTTACCTGGTGGAGGCCCACCTGGGTGGTGCACGAACTTGGTTTCTCTGAGCCGTGTTTCCTCCTCCATTAAACAGTGACAGTGATGGCGTACTTACCAGCCAAGGCCTCTGACCCCGCAGCTCCTCTGCGAGGTGGGAGAGGGACCCCGCCCTCCAGCCCGGGGCCAGGGTCAGCGCTCAGGTCCTCGGCGGCGGCAGAGGCGCGGAGCCGGGCAGCACACCTAATGTGACATCCCCGCTCCACAGCCCGCAGAGAGCTGAGTGCGGGCCGCTCTGCCGACCTCCCGCCCGCCGCCACCGGCCGCGTGGCCTTTGTCCCGGGGCACGTCCCCTCGGACGCCGGCACTCGCTTTACAAACGGGGCTGCCCTGGCCGGAATCCAAAGCCAAAGCAATAACCACAACCAGCGCCGACGTCCGGATGCCTACTTTCTCGGCAAATCCTCAAGCACGCTCACCTCCAAGCCCAACGCTGGTTGCCATGGGGACACTCACCTGGCTTCCGGAAACTGGTTTCAAATTCCGGAAGTGGGCGGAGGAGGAGGCTTTCCCGCTCGCTCCGTGGTCCGCCAGATGGCCCTGTTGGGGGGGCCCCCGTGTTCCTAGGCCCGCCACCTCCGCGTGGCCTTGCTGAGCGCCAGCCCCTGGCGGGCGGTGTCGCGGGGCCCGAACATTTCGGGGAGCGTTGCCGGCCCCTGGGTCCCCCGGCTTGGGATGGGGGAGAAACACCCGCGGCGGAAGTGGAATGGGAGTCAGCCTCTTGGCGCGGGAGGAGAGGGCGACTCCGGACTTCATTTCCCAGGCGGCCACGCGCCCGACCGGAAGTGCCATGAGCCTATAAATGGCCGAGGTGGCCTCGCCGGCCCGTCCCAGGGCCTCGGTGCCACACTCTCTGCTGGTCTGTGTCAATTCACCTGGGACCCTCGCGAACGGCCGCCGGGTGGCAGAGGCGGGTCTCGGAGGCCCCAAACTCGGCCGCATCCCACTGTGGTTCGGGGGTGAGAGCCCGGGCTGGGAGTTCTGGGACCTGGGTTCGAGTGCTGCCTTTGCTGCTACCCAGCTTCACACAGTCGCGGGCTCTCGCTCGGCCTCAGTTTCCTCTTTTAGGAAGTGGACACCGGTGTCCGGGCCCTTCCTCCCACCGGCGGTGGTTGTGAGGACACGGAATCCCTCCCATAGGCGCCGCCCGCAGGTGGAGCCGGGCGCCTTGGTTCTCTCCTTCCCCCCTCCCCGCTTCGCCGTGGGCTGGGGCCGCCTCCGTCTGGCAGGGAGTCTGGGTTGGTCCCCGCAGCCCTGGGATGGTCCTCTGGACCCCTGAGCCAGTCCGGGCACAGTCCGAGGGGCAAGTCTGCAGTCACTGGTGCTAAGGGGGGCTTTGCTTGTCCCCTCGGGGCTGGAACTTAGGGTCCCTCACTCCTGAACCCTGACTTCACAGGAGCTGCTCTCAGAGGTGGGGAGACCTTGCCCCTGAGGGGAATGAACAGGGATTCCTGCACCAGCTCAGCTCCGCACCTGGGCCAAGTCCCATTTCCTCTTTGGAGCCAGTATTTTATTTTATCTTTTGTATTTTTTTGAGAGGATGTGTATGAAAGCTGGGATCTGTGGAGCACGTACGGGCTGAGGGTAGATGCAGCAGCAGAAGAGTTGAGGGGTGGGGGCTGCTTTGGCTCAGGAAGGGTGGAGAAAAGGGACTCTTGGCGACAGGATCAGGTGGTGAGCTCAGGACAAGCTGCCGCTGCCCGCTGTTTCCCTGGTTGCAAGTCCTGTGGGGACCCTCAGAGTGCAGAGAGCAAAAGTACGTGCGGAGCAAAGGCTGGGGTGCGCATTCTCCGAAGGGAGCTGCAGGGCTGGGAGTGGTGCCAGGTACCCGAGATTCTGGGTTCCTCAAGCCCCCACTCCGCCTGGGAAGGGGGAGCAACGACATGACTTTGTCCCTTCCATCCGCTTGCAGCTCTAGGTGCTTAAAGTAATATTTACGAGTTTGACAGGGAGCCTCTGCCTGGTCTGAACTCACTGGGAAGCGCAAGCATGGCTCCCTCAGCTGCACGCGTGCACTCGCTTTGTTGTGCTTCATGGCTGCTGCATTTCTTACAAAGGCGAGGCCCTCCGCCAGCAAAAAAGTTACGATTGGCTTTCCTGCGACACTCGCCTCGCTGATGGCCTGGAACCAAAGCCACGGTGTCTCCCAGCCGTGCCCTACCCGGTCCTGCCCCCGGGCCCAGGTGTGTTTGCGCCTCCGAGAATCCTGCCCGGGCCACAGGAGAGGTTTAGGTTGGCAAGTAGACGCCTTCAGTCGGGGTCGGCAGTCCTCCCCACAGGCCAAATCGGTGCTATTTGTGGACGTGAACATGACGGTAAACTGAGGCTCGGTGTCCGTCCATCACGTTTCTTTGGAGCACAGCCTCGTCGCTTTGTGAAGTCTTCGCCGGTGACGGCATCAGCAGAGGGGGTGGCCTGGCTGTGACAGACGGATGGCCTGCCACGCCTGGAATAGTTCCCATCCTGCCCTGCACAGAAGAGCTTGCGGTCATCTCTGAGAATGGGCCCTGAGAAGCGAGGGCGGAACCGGATACCCCGCCGCAGTGAGCACATCTGGACCAGCACGCCTCAGTAAAAGAGCGGGTGCTCTCGGCGTCTGGTGGCTGCTTGCGGGGGGACCCCTCCCCACCCACTGTTCCCTTTGCTTGGCTTTGCTGTCTCTCAGGCAGAGGAGGGCTGTCTGTGCGCTGTGCACTGTGCTCCTGTCGGAAGTCCCTGTCGTCTGCTCCAAGCCCACCCCCGCGCAGTAACGGGACCTCGGCCAGGGACGTGGGTCCAGTCCCCTTGGGATTATATTCTTTTTTCCCTTAAAGGAAAATGCTGAACGTAGATGTTGTTTGATGGGTGGAGCCCACTGACCAAGAGCCCTTCCTGACTTAACCCTTCCCCGGGGGGCGGAGGGGGCGAGAGGGTCTGGTGACCTGAGGCCCCCGCTGCTCTCGCAGGAGCTAGGGGACCGCTCTGGGCTCCCGTTTGAGGAGGGAGCTGACGGCACGATTGCCTCCTCCCAGCCTCGTGGAAGCATGTTTCTTTCCCCAGACCTCAGGTGACCCTTGATCAGAGATGATCGCCAGCTTGGGTCACGTGTGAGAGCGCTGTGTTTGTTCTGGTTAGGTGGACAGCTGGCTGGAGAGAGCCGGCCTGGCACAGAGTCGGGGCCACTGAGGCCTGGACAGGCACGAGGGCTGCAAGCTTGAGGTTTCTGTTGTTGTTTAAATGTTACTGATTTCAGCCGAAACCGGTTTGGCTCAGTGGTAGAGTGTCGGTCTGCGGACTGAAAGGTCCCAGGTTCGATTCCGGTCAGGGGCATGTACGTGGGTTGCGGGCACATCCCCGGTAAGGGGGTGTGCAGGAGGCAGCTGGTCGATGTTTCTCTCTCATCGATGTTTCTAGTTCTCTATCTCTCCCTTCTTCTCTGAAAAAACTCAATAAAATATATATTTTTAAATGTTACTGATTTCATAGAGAGAGAGAAACATCGATGATGAGAGAGGATCATTGATTGTCTGCTTCCTGTACATCTCCTACTGTGGATGGAACCCACAATCTGGGCATGTGCCCTTGACTGGAATCGAACCTGGGACCCTTAAGTCCATAAGCCGATGCTCTATCCATTGAGAAACACCAGCTAGGGTTGAGCTTCAGGTTTTCGCTGGTAGATTTTTTCTTAGCGACAACACTGAGAATAGTGGAATACCTCACTTTTACCACTTTCTTACATTTTCTCACGCCCTCTGACAGCCTGTGGTCAAGGAAAAAACTGGCCCTGAAGCCACCCCGGTAAGGGTTTGAAACTCCCTGCTCTTAGTCCTCTGAGCCTCCGAGTCCTCGTCTGTAAAATGGGGAGGCGCCCCTCACAGGGCTGTTAGGAGGAGTCTGTTATCGTGTGCTCGGAATTCCCTTGTGGAGTTCTGTCCTCACAGCTGTGCCTTTCTGTCTGCTCGGGCTGCCCGCCTCCCAGGCCCCCGCTCCGCAGGTGAGGTGAGGTCTGAGGTGAGGAAGGAGAGCGTTCTCTCCTGGGGTGTGCTTGACTGTTTTAGGGGCCCCCCTTCTCTCTGCGAGCTGGTTCAGACTGAGGGGCCTCACCTGCAGGAAGCCTTTTGGGGAGCCCGTAGGATGGGGTGACGGCGTGGAGAACCGGGCCAGCTCTTTGCACATTAGCTGGGGGCAGTGCACTGGCCCGCTAAGCCTCACGCGCACCTGCCTGCCTGAAGGGCACTGCTTTGGGGCCTCTCGCCCCAGGCCTGGCACCAGGGTTGCTTTCTGAGTTGTCGGGTGTGGGTGGAAACACAACGGGTCCTTGTTTAACCCCGATGAGACAGTGGGGACTTCACTCTTGTTTAGAACGCGGAGGCTGGGGCAAAACTGGCTGCATCGTCTCATTGCACCACAGTTCTAAATATGTCAAGTGAGGCGTGCTGTGCACTCCTGCTTTCTAGACCATGAGTTCTTGCTTCCTCTTTTCTGCTCTGGACTTTCCCCAGAGGAAGAGAAAGCGGAAGTCTCGGGCCTGGGGATTGGCTGAGGCCGCCGCCCAATTCCAGGTGTGGCTGTGGGATCAGGAGGGAAGGCCGCCCGCGAGTCACATGGGGAGAGCTGCTCCGTAGAAGGGGGAGCCCAGGGCCTCCCCGCCGGGGGCGGCTTCCTGTCCCCTCTTTCCGTGCGGAGGTCATTCTTTATCCCCGGGTCCTGCGGGCCCAGAGCCCCGGCCCGGCCCCAGCAGAGGAGACGCCACTCCGAGCCAGCCCCCGGCCGCGGGGTGTCCGTGCTCCCAGGCACGGGGTGGGGTCAGTCTCGGTCCCTAATAGGGGTCAGGGCCCACGGGGCGGTGCCCGGTGGGGATGAAGCGAAGCGGTCTGAGCTGGTGGGTGCGCTGAGCGGCAGGGACGCTGACTGCCGCTGCTCCTAGGAGCTGGTCGCAATGGCCGAGGGGCGGTTTTACCTGTTGGTGCTGGCGCTGTCGTCCCTGGGCTCTGTGTGCGTCCTCTTCACCGTCTACTGGATGTGGAACTGGCACGGCGGCTTTGCCTGGGATGGCAGCACCCTCATGTTCAACTGTCACCCGGTGCTCATGGTGGCTGGCATGGTGGTGGTCTACAGCGCTGGTGAGTGTGAGGTCAGCGTGGGAGGCGTGCGGAGCAGCCCCTCCCGGGACTGGCTCTGTCCCTGTGGGCTCAGGGCTGTGGGCGTCGGCCGGGTGGCCTGCCGTTGGGCACAGGTGTCCTTGGGAGGAAGCAGCAGTGAGGGTGGGGCCTGTGGGAAGGGCAGCTTCCCGGGTTCTTCCTCTGCATTTGAAAGGGCTGTGCTGGGAGGGAAGCCATGGCGAGCCTTTGCCTGGCTGTCCAGGGACCCCTCACTCTCAGAGATGGGCGAGGCGGGACTGGTCTTTGAGCTGCAGTTTGCCATCCCGGCAAGGGAGCGGGAGGTGGACACTCTGTTGGCCTAGTGGGCCCTTGCGTAAGGGGTCTGCTTACTCCTGCCGGACCCATCGTGGCCCCAGGCATCCAGAGCTGGGCTTGGGGCCCGGCGGGCCTCCTCCCCCCACTAAAATGGGGGTGACAGTGACCCTGGTGAAAGCAGCTTACCCATGAGCTTCAGGGACATCATCCCATTGTGTTTTTACAAGAAGCTTGTGAGGTGGGCTCTGTTGTTAGCCTATTCTACAGATGAGGAAACTGAGATTTAGAAAGAAGATGCAAGTAGCTAGCAGGCAGAGCCAGGGTTTGGACCCAAGCCATCTACTGGCCTGCATCTTTTTTTTTTTTTTTTTTTTTTTTTTTTTTTTTTATGGGCCTGCATCTTGATAATGACTCGCTGTGAGAGTTCAGGTCGATGGAGAACTAGAGACAGGGCTTCTCACCTGCACAACTGCCTGCAGACCCCTGAGCATCGCAGTGCGAAGGGCAGGCCCAGGGAACTGCTCCCTTTCATCTGTGCCCTCCCTCCTGCCTTCACCGCTGGCTGGAGGCCCGGGAACCAGGCCAGGATAGAAGACGCCGATGAGTCCTAGCATTTCCTGGTCCACGTCCCAGCCTCCCCCTCCCTCGGCGGAGGCTGTGTGGGCACATGTCAGGGTAATCCCCCCATGTGTGGCGAGCACGAGGGGAGGAGCTGAGCCTGGACTGTCTCTCCGGCAGCGTCACTGGTGTACCGCCTGCCCCAGTCCTGGGTGGGGCCCAAGCTGCCCTGGAAAGTCGCCCACGCGTCCCTGCACCTGCTGGCCTTCCTCCTGACGGTGCTGGGGCTGGTGGCCGTGTTCAGGTACCACAACAGCAAGCACATCGCCAACCTGTACTCCCTGCACAGCTGGCTGGGCATCACCGCCGTCTTCCTCTTCGCCTGCCAGGTGGGTGCCCTGCCCTCCTCTCGCCCCCACTGCCGGCTGGCAGCCAGGGCTCGGGCTGGGGCTTCACTTGATCGGCACCAAGTATTCCCTCTGCTCGTGGCCTGGAGGCGGCACTGCAGGCACCGCTGTGGGTGGACAGAAAGGGCCGTGGAGACGGGGGTCCCCACACCCGCCCTGTGCCCGTTCCCCTGCTGGTCTGCCGTCGCAGGGTCTGTGTGAGCCAGGCCGGAAGGAAGCGGAGCCAGCGAGGATGACTGTTTGCGGGAGAGGGGGTTGTAGCTACGAGGTCATGGAAGGTTCTTGTTTGTGTAGGAGAAGCAGAGCACAGTGAGGACCCAGAGGTGCTGGGGCAGTTCCCGGTGGGAGGTTTGAGATGGGAGTGAAGGGAGAAGGTCCCTGCACAGCCGGAGGCGCTGGGGGTGGGGTGACGGCGCCTTTGGTCACAGGCGGGTCAGGTGCTTCTCCTGCATCTGTCCGCAGTGGCTCCTGGGCTTTGCGGTCTTCTTGCTGCCCTGGGCGTCCCTGCAGCTGCGCAGTCTCCTCAAGCCTGTCCACGTCTTCTTCGGAGCCTCCATCCTCGCTCTGGCCATGGCGTCTGTCATTTCCGGCATCAACGAGAAGCTCTTCTTCAGCCTGTGAGTGGGGTGGCCCCTCTGCGTGGAGGGGAAAGAGTGGGGTCTTCAGAAGATGGCTCTGTGGGCACAGGGCCCTCCCAGGGGGGCCTCAGGCCGGTGTGCCCCGATCGGGAAGGCAGTGGCCTGTCTTTGGGAGGAGTTGGTAAATGGCCAGTAGGTATTTCTCCAGCATCAGCCTGACTGAGCACTGCTGGGTGCCAAACTCTGCAAAGCCCCTTAAATGTGGTCCTTGGATTGCCCCACGGCATCGACCCCACGGTCAGGGCCACATAGACATGAGGGCCGAGGCCCAGCATCCCGCTCAGGGAGGGCGCTCCGCAGGGGTTGGTGCTGGACTCAGCAGCGTCAGCACCTCTGTGCGTGGCCCTGGCGGAATCTCAGGCCCACGTGCTGTCCCCTTCAGGAAGAACGCCACCAGGCCGTACTCCAGCCTGCCCGGCGAGGCTGTCTTTGCCAACGGCACCGGGATGCTGGTGGTGGCCTTCGGGCTGCTGGTGCTCTACCTCCTGCAGGCCTCATCCTGGAAACGCCCGGAAGTGGGGGTCACGACCGAAGGACAGGTGCGGCTGGGGGAGGGCGGGTCTAGAGAAGGGTTGCCGGGAGAGGTGTGGGCCTTACCAGGAAGACTGACCCAGGAACATGTGGGGTACCAGCAGCTGGAAGTGGGGGCACTGCTGTCAGCAGCCCCCAGCCCAGCCATCGGGGCAGATGCAGGCTCCGGGACTCCTGGGGGCTGGTCTACCGGGAGCGGGTGGGGGTTCCTCTCTCCCCAGGTTCTTGTGGCTTCAGGAGGGCAAGTGTGGCCCTCTCCTCCCCAGGGGAGCCTTGGGTGTGAAGGGGGTGTCGTCACTTGTGCATTGCCAGCTCACGGCTGGTCTGGCAGGCGCTTGGTGACAAGCCGAGTACTTGGAGCAGGTTCTGCCTGTTGGCCACTCTGTATCTGGGCGAGGAGGGGTGAGGGACTTTGGGCTTCCCTGAAAGATGTTGTGAGTTGGGGACTGAAGGTTGGGGTCTATGTGAACAGCTCAGAGCTGGTGGCACCCGCAGGCCCAGGGCCATTGAGTTATGCCATTAACCTGTGCGCCTGCTCTTCCAGCCCCTGCTGCGTGAAAGGGAGTGAAGCGAGAAGGGACGCAGGAGCGGCCTCCGGCCGGGTGCATCTGGACTCCCTCCGAACCTCTGCTCCACCCGGGGCTCCCACCTCGCCGCCCCGCGGGCTGCTCTACGCCGCGTGCTGCCTAGTCTGTTGGTGCTTTGGCCTCTGCACTCCTTCCTGGCGTCGGCTTCTGAGGCCCTCCCTTTGCACAGGCCCCCTGCCCGGCCGCTCGCACGCCTGCTCCCCAGCTGAGCCGACTCCCTAGACCCTGGAGGTGGGGGGAAGTCCCATCAGCTCAGATGGCTGGATTCAAGTGCATCTGCAACTTGAACGAGTGGTGACCTGCCTGTCCGCTCTCCCGTGGAACGTGTGCATGGCCTTTAGGCACCCGCCATGGCTGGCCCCTGGACGTGAGGCTGGGTGGGAGCATCAGGGTGAAGGGAGGCAGGGGTGACAGAGCAGCTCTGCAAGGAAACTGAGGCGCTGCCTGCTCATGTCTCGAGTCCACTGTGACCGTGTGGCTCCATCACTTCCTGGTGCTGCTACAGCTGGGACCTGGATCCTGGCCTGTCCCCATCAGGCAGCCCAAGGAGTCTGGGAGCCTGCTGCCGCCAGCTGTCCCAGCGGGGAGGCTGGCAGGGCTGCCTTACTCTCCTTCGCCAGGTTGGGGCCACCACGACACGACCGGCGTTGGGGTGCTTTGTCCCAGCAGAGCCGAGGACCACGGCCACCTTCGCCGTGTTTTCTGCTGAGCATGAGCCTCCTGCCCCCACAGTGGCTGCTCGCAGGCCGTGAGTTGAGCTTCTTCAGAGGAATGGGGGAGGGGCCTGGCTCCTCTCCTACGGGCTGGGGCTTTGGCTTTCCCTGCCTTCTCCAAACGAGTCCTGCTGGGTCCCTGGTGCCACATGCTGTGCACAGACCAGCAGCATGTCGCCCGGGGTCTAGGGTGTGCTTCTTCCTCTCTGGCCCATGGTGATGAGGCCGACTGGCCACCGACCCCACAGGCCAGGTGCCGCAGGACTCTGCCGGACCCTCTGGTGGCCAAAGGCTCAAAGCCACTGCAGTGACTGCCAGGCAGCTTGTCACGTGACCCTCCTTACCACCAGGGCAGGCATTTCACCTGTTTGTAAAGCCTGGTTTTCATTAAATACATTTTTAAAGATCAAAGCCTCTTGTGCGGGAATGAGATTGGCTAAGTGAGCGCTGGGCAGCTCAGGACAGTTCTGACCCTGAGGCCTGGAGAGGGACAAGGCAGACACCAGAGACCCACTGACTGCCGCCTGGGAACCGCCGCTCCTGCTGGGTGGCCGTCCCTTGGCGAGTGGCCCTGAGCCCTGGGATCACAAAGAAGGACGTGCTCCCTGGTGTGTGCTCACACATACTTGCTTGAGGTCACCTGACAGGAAGTGGCAGTGCTGGGCCCACGGGCAGGTGTCTGATGCCAGTCCCCTCCCCGGCTGCTGAGTGTGCGTCTGCGCACACTGATAGCTGCCTCGTGGTCGGGGACCAGGGGGTGGGGGTGGCTGGTGCTCAGGAACCCTGGCTGAATGAGGCTGCAGCCAAGTTGGGGTGTGAGTGATGGGGCCTCCAGGGTGACCAGCTGTGCATGTACGTGGTAGAGCAGGACCTGGATGCTGGGTGCAGACACCAGTGGGAGCAGTAACCCGCAGGGCGTGGGCCCCGGACTGTGCTGGGGCTTCACATCAATTCCTTGGACCCTGTTCCTGTCCCCCACAAGACGGGCACCATTCTGTTTCCCAGACTCCAAGAGACTAAAGAACAGGCGTGAGCCGCTGTAGCTGGTTTGAAGCAGAACCAGGACCTAGCCGTGTCCACGTGAGAGAACTCCAGGCCTGTGACCGCCCCGCATTGAGCATGGGTCGGGTGCACGCTGTCCTGCCACCACGCACGGGACGCGGCCGTGGCCTGCGACTGCTGAGAGCAGGGCTGGCCTGGGCGCGCTTTCTGCGCCACCACCCGAACGACACGGTGGCTTCCTTCCCTCCGGGCGTCCCATTTGCCCACTTGATGCCTGAAGAACCAGGGCGCTCTGAGTTCGGTGCTGAGGAAAGCACACCGTCGGGTGGCGTGCGTATGGGGAGGACAGGACTGAGGTCCAGTGGAGCCAGCCCAGCTGTGCAGGCCTGGCCTGTGAGTCTCGGGTGGAAAGAGGGGTCACCTCGCCCGGGGCTGAGCACTGCCCCGGCAGCAGAGGGCCGCTACTCACACGCCTGGAGACGGCCTCAGAGGCGGCCGAAGCTCTGGTCTGATGTGGTTTATTAGCTGCTTTTCACGCGGGCACAGGCTCAGCAATGCCAGTGACAGCTGTGCTGCCCCAGGGACACGACCACCCGCTGCTGAGGCCCAGGCAGCGGGGCCGGGGCAGAGTGGGAGCCTGGGACCCTCCCTCCCTGCGCAGGCAGTGACCCCTCTGGGCCTGCAGTCTGCACTGCAGCCGCTCTGGAGGCTGGCAGCGGTTCCTGCTGAACTCAGAGGATGGGCGTGCGAAGCGAGGGCGGTGGCCGGTGGGCGGCAGAGGGAAGTGGCCGGCGGCCTCTGCACTCACTCGCTCTCCAGGTTCTGCAGGGCCTGCAGGATGGACCGGAGAATGGCTGCAGTGGCCACTGCCCCGGGGTCTGGCTGGTCGAGCTTCATGGAGCTGATATAACTGGCTCTCCCAGCTCCAGCCGTCATGTTCTTGGTGGCCTGGGCCGCAGCTTCGGCGCTCTGAGGGGGACGGAGAGAAGCAGGGTTAAGGACAAGCCTCCAGCCGCCTTCCTGCCCTGAAGCAAGGCCTGGGCTTGGGGGAGGCCCTGGACCCTCCTGTCCTGCTCTGCCAGCACCTCTGTACTGTCCCAGGGCAGAGCGCTCACCTCCCACCTGTCTGCAGCAAGGCCCGGGGCCCCATTTACTGCGGACCTGCTGTGCCCAGTTACCAAGTGCGGCTGTTACTCTCCAGCCTCGCTCCCCTCTGGACAGGCTCATCTCTTCTCAGAGGAGGGAGCCGAGCACGGGAAGGGTATTGACCAGCTCCCAGCCTGTCTCCCGGGTGGCGGGGCCTCCACTCACCTCCACTGCCTTGGTCAGGATGTGGAACAGATTAGCCTGTGGGTTCCTCAAGGCTTGGAGCTCCTGTCCCGCTGCCCAGAGAGAATCCAGCTGGACAAGGGGAGGGTGGGGGTGAGCACAGGTCCTTGCACAGGGCGGCCTTCACGGCTCTGCCATCCAAAGGGGAAGGGCTGGGCGCATACACACCATAGTCCTGTCTCCTGGGGCAGCCTTCCCATACCTGCGGGGAGAGAACGGCGGTTCGCTGGAGGGGATGCTGGGGTGGGGCAGGGCCTGGCTGGGAGCAGGTGACATCTGCCCCCCTCCCCGCCCACCCTGGGCTGGGGCTCAGGCTCCACTCACTTCCTCATGGCCTCCAGGCCGGCGTCCATGGCAGCAGACCAGGCTGGGAGGCCAGTGCTGGCCTTGAGGGGCTGGGCCGCTGCGGTCAGGAACAGGCCGTAGAGCTGGGAGGGCCACAAGTTTTTACCTTCCGGCCGGCTGTACCGCAGCCAGCCCAGGCCCTCTCAGCCCTCCGCCCCGGGCACTGCCGCACTCACGGCCCCTGATGAGCCTCCCATCTTATCCAGCAGCAGGAGGGACAGCTGGGAGAGCAGCTTGGCAGGGTGGGCGGGGGGTGGGCACTCTCTCAGCCACTCCTGGATGGCTGCAGGCGGAGCGGGGGGGGGGGGGGGGAGTCAGAGGCCCTCCCTCCCAACAGGCACGCTCCCCACAGCAGGCAGAGGGAGGGCGGGAACCCCAGGCTCCCGCTCTCTATCCAGTGTGCAGGGCAGAGGCTGAGGAGCGGCAGGCCTCCCGGCCAGGCCGATGCTCCTCCTCAGCTGCCACGCCGTCCTGGGTCTTGTACTGGGTACAAGCCACGAGGCCTGCACTTCTCATCCGCTTTGCTCGCTGCTATCCCGCAGCTGCCTGGCCCCCGACAGGCACTGGGGTTCCCGATGACGCTGGACAGTGAGGGTGCCCTCGCCCAGGAACGTGAGAACGAGGACTACAGAGCGAGTTCCCTGGGAACCTCGTGTCACTGTGAGAGAGACATCTGGCTCTACAATGACGATCCCCACGCCTGTAGCGGTGACGGCCCATTCTCCATGAAAATGGTGGACGGGGCGAGGTCTTGTGCATGACTGCGCTTGGCAAAGGAGAAGTTGGCAACCCATGCCAGCGCTCCGAATGTTTCTGAGATGGTTCTGGTTCAGGAAACACCCAAATCGCAGAAATGTGGCCTGGCCCCTCTCTGCAGGGGTCCCTGCACCCACCTTGGGCAGCGCGGCTGTGGGTGGTCCCACAGTCCCCATCGCCGGACACACGGTCCAGGGTGTTGAGCTGCTCCTCCATGTCCAGGAGGGTGGCGCACACCCGCTCCAGCACGAGCACCATCCGCCTGGGGCTCAAGCCTGCAGGGAGGACAGCGGGGGGAGGAGCACCTGGCCCTTCTCCCAGCTGACTTGAAGGCGTGGGAGATACGGGTGTTAGGGCCCCTGCACACCCCTCACCCTTCGGGACTCAGGCCAATGCCTGGGTCGCCTGCCCCAATGGCAGGGCTTGGTACCTTCTACAGTGATATCGGGAGCCTCTGCGGGGTGGGAGGGGGCTGGCCGGGTCCGCTTCCGCCCCGTCACAGAGACCTTGGGCATGTTCGGCCAGGCCGACGCGGTGGTCTCAGCATCTAGAGTCAGCAGGGTGACTTTCTTAGACACGGGGTGGCTGGCCAGGGGTCAAGTGGGACCTGATTCCCCCTGGTGGCCAATTCCCTTCACCTCAAAAAGCAAGTACTGAGTACCTGCTGTGTACAAGGAAAGAGGGGCTGTCCCTGGGGAGGAGCCTAACACCAACTCCTCCAGTCACGTGAGAGCTGGAGAATCAGAAGGGCCCTTCATGGGGCCTGAGGGTCATGGTTCATCAGACCTCTGCTGGGGTCTCCCCACGGCCCCTGGCCTTCTCCAGCTCCAAGGAGCCCTGGCTTGGATGGCCCAGCTGTAGGTCTCACCTATCAGTTTCAGGCGGGACTCGTCCACGAGCAGGAGGGTGAGAGAGAGGCCAGGCATCTCCAGCGCTGACATGAAGGTGCCCACCAGGGCACGGGCAACCTTCACCCCGCGGCTCTCTGCAACAGCAAAGCACGGACGTCCCTGAGGAAAGGCCACGAGGGCGGTACTTCCCCCAGAAGAGAGAAACCGGGTAAGAGAAAACCAAGGGCTTTGGACACGGGGCCCTGAGGCCAGCAGGGAGATGGCCAGGTCCGCTCAGGGCATCCCTCCAATGCCCCGGTCACACGTCCCCTGCCGTGCCCCCTCTACAGGGCAGATGGGTCCCTGCAGGTCTCATTTGCTGAGCTCTGCCAGGTGCCAGGCTCTGTGCCAAGTGGTTATGCATGTTTCGTTTCATTTAATCTTCACAGCCGCCTAGGAGGCAGGGACCATCCTTACCCCCTACGCCAGGGGCAGGCTCCACACTTGCAATTAGGTGGAGAGTGAAGCCCTAGCTCAGGCTCGTCTGACTGCACAGCCCAAGCTCTGGGCCGTCACAAGACCCCACCTCAGCTGCCCTTTTCTTTTCTTTTTCAAAACAAAATTTTTATTGGTTTTTCAGAGAGGAAGGGAAAGGGAGAGAAATATTGATGTGACAGTGAAACGAAGATCGGATGCCTCCTACACACCCCCTGCTGGGGATCGGGCCTGCAACCCCGGCATGGGTCCCACCAGGAATCAAACCGACCACCTTTCTGTGCATGGGATTATGCCCAACCCACTGAGCCACACCAGCCAGGCTGGAGGAAAGAGCTCTGGGTGCTGGCAGGCGCCATTTGGGGGAGGGGCTCACCCAGAGTGCGGACGGCTGCGTCGGCCATGATGCCCAGCTCCAGCACCGACAGGCCGCCCAGGTTGTTCACCACCAGCACCACCGAGGAGCCTGTAGGCAGATACTTTGCCATGAGCCTCTCTGGGCCCTTCACCCAGGGAGGAGGGGGGGAGGCGCCGGATGGGGGTCGGGCTGGGAGACCAAGGAGTAAGCGCCCTCACCAGCCTGCACAGACACGTGTGACACGTTGGAAGCGTTGGTCATGTGGTCGAGCATGAGCCTCACAATCTCGTCGGCGGTTGCCATCTGCCGGAAGGACCCGGGAGTGAGCTGTGCCCGAGGCCTCGGCCTTAGACCAGCCTGGGCCAGGGCGTCCACCTACCTTCATCCGGCGCACGCCCGCTTCCCCGTGGATCCCTGCGGACAGAGCAGTCATGCTGACGTGTTTGTACCGAGATTGACTTGGGAATAGCTCGGGGCCGTGGAGGTGGGGAGCGGGTAGAAACAGGCAGGACAGTGAAAACGACACCGTTTCTGCCCTCCCGGAGCTTGGCTTGTGGTAGAGAAAGCCATGAACTGGACTCGTAACCAGCGAAGAGCTTGAGCGAGAGGCAGTCAAGCAAGGAGACGTGAGCCTCCGCCCATCACTTTGGGAGCACCAGGCAGGAGGGAGAGCGCCGCCTCGGAGGGCCCGGGGAGGAGTGAGCAGGGGCAGGGAGGGGGGCAGTGCCTGGACGGATGGAGCCCGAAGAGCTTCAAGTGCCCATTTAAAACCACAAGCACCCATGCGACAGCTGCGGCTCAGCAGGAAGGACGGGCAGAGGGCTTCCAGGGCATTGTGGGTACAACCCAGGGAGCAGGCGCGGCTGGGACAGGGGTGGCCAACACTCACCCAGGCCCAGCTCTACCTCATCAGCGGCAAGTTCAAAGTTGGGTCTGGAACCAGGGACACTGCAGGAGGACAAGCTCAAGCCCAAGGTTCCTGTGAGAGAGGAGGAGTGAACGGGATGACGGCCCTGCACTGGCATCGGCCAGGGCAGCAGGCTTAGGCAGGCAGCCTGTTCACCTTGGATGAAAGAGAAACCTGGCTCCGGGACCCAAGGCTACTAGTGCCCCTGGCTCCCCCAGGGAGACCCCTCAGCCCCGGGAACACTGGGCCAGCCCTCCTAGGCAGCCGCTGGGAACTGCTCCCGGGCCCAAGGCAGCCTTCCCCTCCCTCTCCGCTTCCGACCCCTGGGCTGGCACTCACCCATGGCCTTGGCAGCCACGTTCACCCGGTCTTTGATCTCCTTCAGCGGCACACCGGCCTCGGCCAGGGCACCCGCTATCTGTATCCACACAGAAAGAAGCCCCCAAGGGACAAGAGTCACTGTAGCGCTTGGGGGCTGGAGGGACTCTGGGCACTGCCACATCCACCTGGCTCTGGTGGAGGGCAGAACGGCGTATCCTTGCGTTCACAAGGACATGCCAGGAATCTTTAGCAAACAGTCTGTTGGAGCCAGAAAGAACCCTACAAACGGAGAAATGGGCCCAGAGAGGGAAGGTTTCTTGTCTAACGTCACACAGCAGGCTGATGGCCAGTTTCCTAATTCCCAGTGCAGAGTTCTTTCTCCGGGGCATGTATCCTGCGGCTCACTTTACCCCTCCCCCCCATATTCATCCACCCACCCACTTTTTGCCAAGCGTTTAGTACAGCAGTTCTCAACCTTCCTAATGCCTCGACCCTTGAACACAGCTCCTCATGTTGTGGTGACCCTCAGCCATACAATTATTTTCATCGCTCCTTCATAACGGTAATTTTGCTACTGTTAATGAATCGTAATGTAAACATCTGTGTTTGCCGATGGTCTTAGGCTCTACAGCAGCGGTTCTCAAACTACGGGTCGCGACACAGATAATTACATTACGGTTCATAACAGTAGCAAAATTACGGTTATGAAGTAGCAACGAAAGTAATTTTGTGGTTGGGGGTCACCACCACACGAGGAGCTGAATTAAAGGGCCGTGGCATTAGAAAGGTTGAGAACCGCTGCTCTAGTATGTGCTCAAATGGAAGTGACTCGCTCACAACCCCCCCTGGAAGGGACTGGTGTGGGAGGAGCTGGGGAAGAACGCAGATGGCACACTCGGTGGGGGAGGCGGACGCAGTGGCAGCTCACGGAGGAGGATGGAGGGCAGAGCAGGGCTCTCACCAGCTCAGTGTGGGGGAGGGAAACCTCCGGATGGGAGACACCAGAGCTGGGCCTCGGCCGAACAGGAGGGTTAGCCAGGCCAACTGAGTTAGACAGACAAAGGGCTCTTACGGCCGTGGGTGCAGCATCAGGCAAGCCCCAGAGGGGCTGCAGCGGTGGTGCAGGGAAATGGTACTCATGGAGCATGACAGCATGGTGGGGATGATTGGACATGAACTGGGAAAGTTCAGGGAGGAAGCAAGCGTGTGGTGGGCGCCGGACCATGGGCCTGGGCTGCCTCTAGGAGCCCCAGATGGCTGTCAGGAGGCGAGCAGCCTCATCAGACACCCATCTTCCGAAGGCACCTCTGGGTAGCGTGGGAACAGACTGGAAGGGGAGCACCCAGGAGCGCGCTGACCGAGGCCGGGGCGGGGGCAGGCTGAGGAGGATGTGCGTGCAGAGGCACCAGAAGGCACCAGGAAGGCGGCGTGGCGGGTGTGGGCAGGAAGGGAAGGCCTGGGACAACACTGAGATGCTGGCTGAAGCGGGAGAGGGCACTGGGGAAGGCATGGCCTCCTGTGGGTGGGGTGGCAGCAGGCTGGGCGGGAACCTCACCTTGTGTATGAGCACCACACCACAGAGCCCCCGGCGGCCCGCCTTCTTCACCTCCGTGAAGGCACAGTCGTCCCCGATGACCACCATCTCCACGGGGATGCCCTCAGCCTGCGCCTGCTCGCGGGCCAGGCCGAAGTTCAGCCGGTCCCCGGTGTAGTTCTTCACGATGAGGAGGGTGCCCGCTGAGGGAGCAGCAGCAGGGCCCATCGGTGCTTGCCCTCACCTCCCCCCGCCCCCCCAGATTGCCTCCTGGCAGCAGCCCCTCCTGCACCACAGGCTTACCTGTGCCTGCCTGGGCCACTGCCCTGATGGCTGCCAGGATGCTGCCCACGGCTGGCGAAGCGAACACGGCTCCTGCGATGACCCCCGTCAGCATCCCCTTCCCTATGAAACCTGTGATGGGTGCGAGAGGATGCTGGGGAGGGTGCTGGGGGAGGGTGCTGAGGGAGGGTGCTGGGGGAAGGTGCTGGGGAAGGGAGCTGGGGAAGGGCGCTGGGGAAGGGTGCTGGGGGAGGGTGCTGGAGGAGGGTGCTGGGGGAGAGTGCTGGGGAAGGGCGCTGGGGAGGGCGCTGGGGGAGAGTGCTGGGGGAGGGTGCTGGAGGAGGGTGCTGGAGGAGGGTGCTGGGGAGAGTGCTGGGGGAGGGTGCTGGCCTGCATTCTGAACTTCCTACCAGCCCCAATGATTTCCTTGGAGCCCCCACCTTCACCTCTGGCCCGGGACACTCACCAGCGTGGGCAGGCTCATGGCCGGAGCCCCCACCCGACAGCAGGGCCACCCGGCCCTTGAGGCTGTCCAAGTCGGAGCGGAGGGCCACGCGGTGGCCCTGCAGGAGCTGCAGGTTGGGGTTGCAGGCCACCAGGCCAGCCAGGGCGTCGTCCGCACAGCCTGCCACCGAGTTCACCAGCTTCTTGGAGGTCTACGGGGGAAGGCACTTTCAGGTACCAGTCAGGTTGCAGGCCACGAACCACTTCCACACCCATGGGGACTCCAGGGCCACAGCACCTGGGTGTATTTTATCAGGGGGGTGTTGTCTTGTTACTCTGTATCTTTTGCCCTTCTGAAATGTTTTGGATTATGGCTTAACTTTATCCTGAAGAATGGCTTCTACACAAAGGAAGTGGGGGGGCATGGAGTCCTAGAGGGCCACGGCCAGCCGGCCTGAGTTCCAGGGCTGACGGGCACAGGATGACGTGGGGGGCAGGGTACAGCAGTGAAGGTTGGGTTCTGCAGGCACAGGACGCTGGGATCCAATGCCAGGTCTCCATGCCTAGCTATGAGGCCTCGGGGAAGGCAGCTTGCTGTGCTGAGCTTCAGGTCTCTCTCTGCAAACTGGGCCTTCCCAGGAGCAAGCCTGTCACACAGTGAAAGCTGAACACAGGGAGCTACTTTCTTTTCCAGAAAGCTGTAGCTAGCTGGAGGAGGCCTGCGACCAGGCAGCTCCTGCTTTTGTCCCAGGCTGCCCCAGAGGACCGGAGGCGGGGCAGCCTGCCTCTGAGCTGGGCCCTGGCAAGGTGCACTTCCTGAGGCTCCTCCCTCAAGCCTGTGAGCAGCAGGCTCCTTTGTGTAAACTTTGACCTTGCCTGGGTCTGGCAGGGACCAGAGCCAAGCCGCCTGCTGCAGGTCTAGGGGACAGATACAGGCCAGTGGGGACAGAGCAGAATAATGAGATCGGCTCCACTCTGCTCCATGGCCGAGAGCCAGGTGGCTTCTGGGTGCTCTTGAGCTTGTCTTGTTCCTGTTCTCACAATGTAGAGGAAGCGTTATCTCAGTGGGGAAACCGAGGCACAGTTAAGTGACTTAGCCCAAGACCACACGGTCAGCCAGTGTCTGCCTGGCTCCAATGCAGGCTCCATTTTGCTGCTCCATGCTGCTCTCCCTGGGGCTGAAAGGAGGCTGCCAATGGCAGAGGGCTCACCCACCAGGGACCTCACAGGCAGCAAAGCTGTGATTGGTCTCCGCTCCAGCCCAGCCTTCAGCACCACCCCCACCCTCCCAAAAAGGTGATCCCCAAACAGCCTGTCCTGCCGGATTTGCAACCATCCCCACACCAGAGTCAGAGGAGGCATTGAGGCCAGGCCCATCCTGGTTCCCTTGGCCGGAGGGCACCGGGCGGCCCCAGGACTCCATCTGATAAACACCCAGGGCCACTGCCTGGAGGGTTAACCCGCCTCGCTCTGAGACAAGTGAGACTGGGGACTCCATCTGATAAACACCCAGGGCCACTGCCTGGAGGGTTAACCTGCCTCGCTCTGAGACAGTGAGACGTTCAGAGAGGTCGAGAGATCGAGGTGCACAGCTTGTCAGGGAAGCTGGCACTTGGACCTGGTTCTGTGCAAGACCTGCTCTGGCACACATTGTCCTGGAGTGGAGAGGGAGCAATGCCCAGCAGTGCTGAGCGTCCCAAAGCAAAGAACACCCCCCACCCCCTCGCTCCCACCCCCACCGTGAGGCACCAGCCCACACCAGCCATGTCCTTCCTCAGGGTCCCTCTGTAGCTGGGAGAGGTCTACTCCAGTGTAGGTCACTGTGACTGTCCTAAAGACACGACCAGATCAGGGGGCAGGTGGGCCTGGAGGGCCTCGGAGGCTGCAGCCCCGGCCTGGCTGGGACTGGCTAGGACATGGAGGGAAGCAGAGTCCGGGCCCTGAGAGGGACCCTCTGTCTTAACCTCTATGAGCCGTAGGAGGCAGCAGCATATCTTGGTCAGAGTGTAAGGCCCTCCAGGGTGCCCAGGGCTGGCATGGCCCCTGCCCCCCCATGCCCCGAGCCCACAGTGCCCTTCCCCAGGCTTGACCCTCCTGAGACTCACCATGGTGGGGAGGGGCTGAAGCCAGCAAGCTGAGGTCGCACCTTGGCAATGAGCTGTGGGTGCTGCCTGGGCCTGAGCTCGGTGCAGGAGGCAGTGGCACCTGAAGGACAGAGGACGTGTCGCTGGAGGTGCCCACAGCCTACTGGCACAGTCACGCTTCCAGGCCCTCGTAATTAGGGAGCTGCCCCAGACTTTGAGCCAAGTCTAAACTCCAACACGTGCGCTGGGGATGGAGTAGAGCATGGGGCGGACCAAGGTTCACCTGAAGCGGCTGCCAGGAGGCAGATCTGCCCACACTGGGCACAGGGCGGTCTTTACACCCCAGAGAGCACCCACCTCATCGCCACAGGGCGAGATGAGCCAGAGCAACACCCTCTCCTGCATGAGCATCGTGTGCAGTGAATACAATCACAGGGATGCTCACGCCCTGGCTCTGGTTGCTGTTGGTATCAGACCAAGAGGAAGGCAGCTGAGCTGTGAGCACATTTTACTTCTAGGATTGACCCTGAAGTTCTAGAGCAGTGGTTCTCAACCTTTCTAATGCCTCGAACCTTTAATACAGTTCCTCTACAGCAGCAGTTCTCAGCGGTTGAGAACCGCTAGCAGGGTCGCCTAAGACCATCGGAAAACACAGATATTTACATGATTCATAACAGTAGCAAAATGACAGTTATGAAGTAGCAATGGAAATAATTTTATGTTTGGGGGTCACCACAACATGAGGAACTGTATTAGAGGGTGGAGGCATTTAGAAAGGTTGAAAATCACTGCTCTAGGGAATTGTTCAAGGTCATGCCCACGTCTAGTCTTTCCAAAAAGACTGTGTTCTTCCCACTGATAATTCAATGCCTCCAAAGTCACGCAGAGTCCCTGGTATGGGAAATCACCCATAGCTCCCCTCAGTTCAGCCTGGCTCAGTGGTGTCTTGGGAGCACTGAATGAGTCTGCAATGGGAAGAGTTATAGGCGAGGCAGGCTCTGCGCCTAGTTCTGCCTCTGCCTCTGCCTCTGGGGGATCTTAGGTAAACCAACGCCCTGGGGGGGGGGGGGCTTAGCTTCCTCATCTGTAAAATGGGGCTTCATGATCTGTGGCCTTCTGCTGATACTGCAGACCACGTGGTCCCCCAGCCACGTGATCTTGTGAGGCCTATTAAGTTGCAGAGCTAATGACTGCCTTTCTGGGTCATTAAGGTGCTCCTGGGAAATTCTGGTTTTGTAGGAGATCAAAATTTGCACAGCAATAGGGGCCCTTCAAAAGTTCAAGGGGGAGAAGTGAGCCCCTGGTGTCCCCCCTCCCCAAGGTGAGAGGCCATTCTGAGGTCAGGAGAGGGTCAGCTGGGTTTGGGGGACCTGGGAGGGCTAAGGGGAGGGAGGCACGGACCTTGGAGCTGCACACACTGCTGTCACCTCCCTTCCCTCTGGGCCCCCGCAGCTCTTCCGGTTCCAAAGAATGGATCGCCCGAGGGCGGGGAGGCACGGGGTCCGGTAGGACCGGGCCTGGGGAAGGGGGAGGGAGCGTTCTGGGAGTGGGGGAGGTCGGCGGGTCAGCTCTGAGGGCGTTAGCGCAGCTTCCCACCCCTCCTCACCCCTGGCACCTATCCGCCGACACCAAGGCTTCCCGGGGACCCACAAAGGGCGCCCTCATCCGGGTATTCCAAGCGCCGGCGGCCCGCGGAGGGGCGGGGCCTCCGGGGCGGAGCCTCCTCTGATTGGCCGCCCGGGGCGCCGGGAGTCCTCCAGGAGGCCAGGGGAAGCCGTCCCGTGATGCCCCGCGCCCCGGCCGCTCTGGGCTGCAACGTGTCTGCGGGGCGGAGGCAGCGGCCGCGGAGTTCGCCGCGCGGGTAGGGCCCCCTGTGTCTCCGCTGGTGTCCGCCTCTCTGTCGTCGCGCTCTCGTCTCGACAGGCCGCCCCAGTCCCCGACATGTCGTACAACTACGTGGTAACGGCGCAGAAGCCCACCGCCGTGAACGGCTGCGTGACCGGTGAGGCTGCCAGGGCCGGAGCCCCCGGCGAGGGCAGGATCTGGGGGCCCCCGAGGCCTAGGGAGGCCCGCCAGCCCTGGGGCGGCCGGGCGGGATCCGGCCCGGGGAATGGAGGGCGCCGGCGGCCGAGGAACCTCTCTTAGCCCACGACTCCAAAGAAGCTGGGTCCTCATGCGCTTTTGGGGTTTAAACGCTGCTTTCGGGGGTCCCCTTTCGTCCTGGGAGGATCATCTGACCTCGAGGACAGGGACGGGCCCCCTAGGACAGAGAGCGAAGTGTGAGTTGGCCGTGCGGTGCTGCTTGGGCCCCGAGAAGGGCTTCGTGTGGTTGGGGGAATGGGCGGTGGTGGGGGCGACTTGGGGGTCAGAACTTCCCGTCGGGAGAGCCTGGGGCCGAGTGGGGGTCGGGGTGAGGGGCGGTGGAGGGGTGTGGGGACCGCTCGCCCTCGCCCAGAGCTGGACTGGATGGAGTCCTCTTGGCCTGGGGCTGTTGTTTACTCGCTGCTGGGAAGGCGGGTGAGCACGGCTCAACCCGGTGCTGGGTCTGCCTTGTTAACTCCGCGCAGATGGAGAACACAGGTGTCCAGAACACGGGAATAATCAGTCCTGAACCGGGTATTCAGCAAAGCGAGGGCCTCAAACTTGCAGCAAATGCTAACTGCTGTCAGAGAGTTGGAAGCGGTGAAAGGGTGGGTGAGGGTGCTTGTTGGTAGACACTGGGAGGGCAGGAGGTGTGGACAAAGCAGTGTTTCTGTGCAGAGCTGTGACCGGGTCTGCTTGTTTGGTAAGGATTTGGCGAACATTTAGGTAAGGACGTAATGGAAAGGAGCACTGCCTCCAGCCCTGCGTCCCTCAGTGAGAGGATGCGCGTGCCCTCCAAAGGGAAAGGAAAGGCGAGGGTGCAGAGCCATCGGGGGGGGGGGGGGTCACAGTCATTGCCAGTTGAAGGACACGCTGCCCTTACACCCTGTCCAGGTTTCCTCGTCCGATTTTCTTAGTCTGATTGGAGAAGCAGCTTTCACAGCCGCGAGAGAGAGTGAGAGAGACTGTTTGAGGTGCGGGGTCTGGTGAGATGGGAGCCGTGCCTGGAGGCAGCTGGAGCGGTCTGTGAATTAGGTGAGGATTCTGAAGCTGTGGCTTTCACCACTGAGAGGATTTATCTCTTCTGTTCCTTCAGGACACTTCACTTCAGCAGAAGACTTGAACCTGCTGATTGCCAAGAACACGCGATTGGAGATCTATGTGGTCACCGCGGAGGGGCTCCGGCCCGTTAAGGAGGTGGGCATGTACGGGAAGATCGCCGTCATGGAGCTCTTCAGGCCCAAGGTGAGTGCTCGGGCTGGGTCCCGCCTTGGAGACGGTCCAGTGTTGTTTTCTGTCGTTGCTTGGGATGGGTGGAGCTAGGCGAAGGAGAGAAACCACTCCTTTTGAGGGGCAGGCTTTAACTTCTTAAACTCTTGAACAAGCTTCCTAGAAGTGGGAGAACTTGACGGGAAAAACTGAGCGAGTGGACTTCTGTGAGAGGGGAAATGGAAGCAGTTGGGAATGTGGGTCACCATACTGTGGTCGTCATGGTGACTCCGAGCATTGGCTCTGGAGTAGGGCAGCCCTGGCTTCGGTCCTCAAGAATTCTAACTTTAGCCGAAACCGGTTTGGCTCAGTGGCTAGAGCGTCAGCCTGAGGGCTGAAGGATCCCAGGTTCGGATTCGGTCAAGCGCATGTACCTTGGTTGTGGGCACATCCCCAGTAGGAGGTGTGCAGGAGGCAGCTGATCGATGTTTCTAACTCTCTATTCTTCTCCCTTCCTCTCTGTAAAAAAAAATCAATAAAATAGCCGAGACCCCCGTTTGGCTCAATGGATAGAGCGTCGGCTTGGGGACTGAAGGGTCCCTGGTTTGATTCCGGTCAAGGGCATGTACCTCGGTTGAGGGCATATCCCCAGTAGGGGGTGTGCAAGAGGTAGCTGATCGATGACTCTCTCTCATCGATGTTTCTAACTCTCTATCTCTCTCCCTTCCTCTCTGTACAAAATCAATAAAAATATATTTTTAAAAAAATCAATAAAATATATCTAAAAAAAAAAAAGAATTCTAACTTTAGGTGTTACTTAATCTTCCAGAGCTTTATTTTCTGTTTGCAAAATGGGGATTAAAGTTTCCAACCCCCTGGTTTAGTGTGGAAATTAAATGATTTAATAACACGGAGCGGCTCTGCAGCAAGCATTCATTGTTATGTTAATAGTTATCCCATTATTATTATTATGTAAATGTTTTTACTTAATTAACCACCATATTAGTTCATTATATTGGCTTTTTTTTTTTTTTAAACTTCATTATATTGTAATGAATCTGACAGGAAGCAGTGGTTAGAATTTTAATTACAGCCCCTTTGAACAAAATATATTTAGGGGGTCTGTGTTAATAAGTAAGACTGTAGTTCCATTTTAGCTTCATTGTTATTCACAGGTTTTCCTTTTTCTCCAAATACTTGGAGATTAGAGAAGTCCTTACATTCATCTTTCAGAATTTGAATGGAATGATTGCAATTAGCTTGATACGGAAATAGATGAAGAAATTGAATGTAGAACAGAGACGTGGAATCATGACATTGAGGATTCGATGTTTGCCAGCTTCAGTTCTGGTCTTTCGCACACACCCTTCACCTGTGTGCACTTATGTTATATACTCACTGTAGATTTTCTCTTCAGGGAGAAAAAAATCTTTAAGTCATTTAGCATGCTTCAAGAACGATGTCTAAAGGCTGGCCAGGAATTTCTGTTTCAAAAAGAACCTCATTTGATGGCATGATTTGGTTCCCAGGGGGAGAGCAAGGACCTACTGTTCATCCTGACAGCGAAGTACAACGCCTGCATCCTGGAGTACAAGCAGAGCGGCGAGAGCATTGACATCATCACCCGAGCCCATGGCAACGTCCAGGTGAGGCCGCTCTGCTGATGAGCGGTCCAGGTGGGCTGCAGGGTTTGATGAAGGGGATTGAAGTGCGGGCAGCTCTCTCCATGGCCA